TCTGAGAATAGCATAGAATGCCACCTGGTCTTATTTAGCAAAAATTAGAAATAGTCACCATATTTTTCGTTAAAACTTAAAAAAATGACCAACTTGGAAAAAATGACGTATTGACGATTTTTGAAGTCAACGCCCTTATGTCCAGCAAGAATTTAAGTGACTGTTATTATCTCTCATCATTGAACGTCGAACGTCATAAAACAAAAGTAGGGACTTTGGCAGTCAAAACGAACTTGTAACACCGAAGTTCTAAGGATTTCCTAAGAACACCGTGCGAAATAAGGTCAATAGCCTTGAACAGATCAATAAACAATCCCTACCATTAAACTTCATTTCGCTCACCTCTCATAAATTTATCGGCCACGAATAAAATGCTCAATGTGAATCTTTATTCCTAATATTTACAAGGATTGTTTAGAAACCTATATACTACCGGTGAAGTTTTGTTTTGATTTGTTCTTTTTAATTTGTTCTCCGCCGAGGCGAGGATATGCCTCTTGAAAACCGTTTTCGCCCGTGTTTGCGCATAAACGGCAATGATAATACCTCGGATGGAAATGAGAGATTCGGGTCCGCGGTATGAAGCCTTCATAACGTCGAATAAGAGCCGCCTTGATGTTTATGACCTTTTAATTTATTCAGTGGCCGCTGAAAACTTGAGGAGATAAGCGATCTTCTGTAATTACCATGGAGAATCGATTTTTATACCCGCTGATTCCGTACCGAGTGGGGGAAATTAAATCCTTGCTCTCTGTACATACGAACCGGATTAACAAAACAAAAAAATACAACGGAATCAATTTTGTCTGCTGATAACATAAATAGTAAAAACGTGGGATAACATAATTTTCCGCAAGGGAATGAAAGTGTGAGGTCATGTAGAAATTAAGCATACCGTACATAGACCGTATGATTTATTCAAGTAAGGTAAAAATGAATGAAAAATGATTGAACTACAATGAAACAGTAAAAACTATAATAAAAATATGGATAAACACCAAAACCAACTATGGAAAATAGCTAACACCCCCGGCAGATCAAACCAGCGAGGACGTGCGGACCGGGATGACCGGAAACCCAATCTCTCCAGAAGAAATTGACAAAGTAAGAAATTTAATATTTATTATCATATTGTTGAAAAAGGAGAATTGTAATCAGAAAGTTCTGAATTATTTTTGTTGTTGGTCTTACATCCAATCGAACATTTTGTATTGTTTTATGTTTATGTTTTTATTTAGAGTACATTACAACTATTTTCAATTAGGTAAGAAATAATATCGAGAAAAAAAATGAATAATATATTAGGTATTAAGCACAAGGTTACTGGGTCCGACGCGTTTCTGCTTTGCGCCTTCTTCAGTGAGGAACTGTCTTTACATAATGTTATTTTCTTTCTATCTCCATTACGCTTTCTGATCTTTTAACTCTATTTCTGTGTGTTTCTTTTCATTTTCACCCACTTTCTCGTTTCTTTTCTTCTCGCCCTTCCTCTATCTCTATTGCGTTCTTTCTAATTCTCTTCTACTCTCGCTGACCCTTTAAAGCACTATGCATGCTTCTTTGTATGTTTCTCTTTTCATTTTAACCCTCTTTCTTGTTTATTCTGGCTTTTTCTCTGTTTCTTCCTTGTTTTCTGCCTTTCTCACTCTCTGACTTTCTTTTTCCTCTTCCTATTTCTGTTCGTTCCTCTATCTCACTCTCCCTTTCTTTTGGTGTCTCGATCTTTCTAATTCTTTCTCTTTTGCTCTCGCTGACCCTTTAAAACTCCATGCATGCTTCTTTTTATTTATCTTTGTCCGTTTTTGAACTTTTTTATTGTTTATGTCTCCTCTTGTTTTCTCTATCTCTCACTCTTTCATTTTGCTCTGTTCCTCTTCCTCACTCTTTTATTTTCTAACTCTCTCGTTATGTTTAACTCTTTCTCCTTTATTCTCTTCGAGCCTTTTACACTAGACAGGCTTCTTTGTATTTTCTCTTTCCATTTTAACCCTCTTTCTTATTTATTCTGTTTTTTTTCTCTCTTTCTCCCTTGCTTTCTGCCTTTCTCTCACTCTCTCTCTCTCTATCTATCTATCTATCTATCTATCTATCTATCTATCTATCTATCTATCTATCTATCTATCTATCTCTATCTATCTATCTATCTATCTATCTATATATTTATTTAACTATCTATCCATATATCTATCTGTCTATCTATCTTTCTTTATCTTTCTCTCTCTCTCTCTCTCTCTCTCTCTCTCTCTCTTTCTTTCTTTTTTCTGTTATTCTTTTTGACTCTCATTCTTTCTCTTCTGCTCTCTTCCAGTCTTTAAGAAAATGATGCTTATGTGTATTTTTTCTATTTATTTTTCTATTATCGTTTTCCCTCACTTCCTTTCTTTTTTGCTCTCTCTCCCCCTCCCTCCTTTCTTCCATCCCTCCCTCTCACTATCACACTTTCTTTCTCGCTCGTATTTTTAAATTCTCTGTCCCTATAACAATATCTGCGTGCCTTTCCACTTTTTCGTTCTTTCAAACTCTCTGTCCCTTCCATCTTCTGGTTCTTTATCACTATATGTGCGTGATTCTTCGCGTCATTTTGTCTTTTGAGTACCTCAACTTTTTTTCGTCTTTTTTTTCACAAAAGATGTAAATCTGTGTTCAATCTAGCGCCTTAAGACCCCGCACAACAGGCAAGAGTCCCCGGTTTAGCCGCTCAGTCGAACCCCCTCAGTTTACAGTTTATAAAGACTTCTTCCTTTCTCATAACAAATAAAAGAGCTTTAAATAAATTCCAAAGGGAGCTGGCATCAAGAGACGAGTGGGCCGGTGAAAAATCCTCCAACTTGACCCGGTTGGACCAATCAAAGTCCAGTGGGTCACTTTGGTCCCGGGCCATTTCCTCCCTTTTCCTCTCATTTAAGAGCCCTATTTTTACACCGTCCCTCCGCCATCAGTTATCCGTCCTAACTGGACGGCGATGGGCATAAAGGGAGATTAAAAGACTTTTCTGAGCCATTGCCAGAAAAGATTTTTTGTATGTGCTCGTTTAACAACCACGATAATAAAAAGGCTGAAAAACAGTTATGTTAAATTATCAAATATTTATTACAATTTAAATCCTAATTCTAGGCATGTTTATTCATGTTTCATTAGTTATCATTTGATAATAAAGCAAGCGCTTTGATCAAACAAAAAACCTATGAGAAATGCATAGGAATTACAACGTCTTACTACTATGTCCTTCGGTTTTGCTTTTATTTATGCTTGACGTCCTATACAGCGTGAAATCATTAAATGAAATAGAATATAAAAGCAATTTCCTTCAATTTTAAAAAATTCGACTGAAATATTTGAACAAAATAATGTGATAAAAGCAGAGTGGGAGAAAGAGGGTAAGAAATAAAAAGTGAGAAAGTAAAAAATAAAAGAAGAATGAAAACTAAGGAGAAAGAGAGAGAAAGAGGAAGTATGAACGAAAAAAGAGAAAGAAATACAGAAAGAGAAAAAAGAAAAAGTAAGAAAAAACAAGAGAGTAAGTGAGAGTGAAAAGAAGGGAGACAAAAGAGAATGAGAGAAAGAAAGAGATAGAGAAATAGATGGAAGATAGATCGGATAAATGGAAAGATAGATAAAATAGATAGGTAAGAAGAGAGAAAACGAGAAAGAGATAAATAGTTAAATAGATAGATAGGTTACTATAAACAAACAAGAAAAATGTAAGAAAATCAATTGCCTGTAAACTTAAAGGGAGCAGGTTGAAAAATGAAATCTCTTTTGCCAGGAGATTCTGGAGGAAGCAAAAAAGGAGAACATTCATAGGCCAGCCCTGGTCCTCAGTAGCACTAGTGTGAACAGAACTAAACTTCTATAAAAAAGGAGCAAATGCCGAGTGGATATGTTATCAAAAAATCATATCTGCGGAACATCATCGCAGGACAGGCAGACTTCAATAAGAAAGTCTCGTCCAAATTTACTACAGATCACGGTCAAACAAAACTCACCGTCGTTAAATTTCGGTTAAAAGACATTCGGACTCAATAGGTACTTTAAAAAATTGGCAGAAAACAGCCTATGTAGGTTCTGCCAAGAAGTAGAGGAAACCTCAGTACGTGTTATTAGCTGTTGGGAATATCTGACAACGAAAGGAAAATATCAAGCATTTGGTAATTATAAAAATTTAAAACTAGATAATAGAAAATTTATCCATAACGAGTACAATAGTACCATTTTGGTGGACACATTGCGACAGACTATACAGCCATGTTATACGAACCTAAACCTAATTAGGAAATCGCAAATGACTAAACTACATGTCCTCCACCCACATCTTGAAATCGCACAGCGAAAATGAGTCTGTTTTGGCTGTATTTATTGTTGAAAAATATTGCATGTACGTCCATCCAAAAAAACGCGGAATGGAACAAATCTATATGCCTTTACAAGTTAGTTATATGTTTCATTCATCCTTATGAATAAAATAAAATTTTACCTTACAAAAATTAAAATATTAGTGATAACAATAGAGAACAATATAAAAGGAATGATGCCAAACCAAGCAGATATATCACCCCATAATCGCGTTGGCCGAATGATTAGGACCTCGGCTCCTAGTCAGGCTAGCGGTTCTGAGTCCGAATCCAGGCATTGTCCTTGAAGTTTGATTTAAGATTATTTTGGAAAAAAAATATTGTAAATAGGTTTGTAGTTTTTTTAATAAAGTGAGTTAAGTGAAGCTAGAATGTGACTCAGGTATAAGAATGAGGAATATTGTTTTGCGACGCAGTGGTTCTTAGCTACTCGTCAGTCGGTCCCGAAGCTTTGACATGTAAAGATGTTTGTTTAGTAAACTGTAATTGAACTGCTTTTCGTGGTTACCTTGAGTAATAACTACTTCGAGGTTCTTAATCTATCGTCTGCCACAACCAACGGATGTTGGACGTTAAACCCTTGTTTGAGAAGAATTAATTTACTTTAGTGTATATCACCAGGTGGTAATTTTGTTTACAAAAAATGGATTCATTTCTAATGTTATTTATTTAAACACATGTCATGGCGGATGGGCACTTGTTTATACATTTAATTAATATGAAGTTTTGAACAAACGATGAGAATTAATAGCTCAAAGATAATTGCATAGCCCGCGGTCGTCCTGCACGAGAAATCTTTTACAAGGTAAATGAAATTGTTGATATCGCTTATTGTTATGTACAAGCTTTTTGGTTTTGGTCCGCCGATTGTCTCTTCGTTGTAAATGTTGAGACCGAAAATTTTCCCTTTGCAAATCAACGGGCCTCCAGCGTCTGTAAAAGAAGAAACGCGGGTTTCGGGCACGGCGCACATTAGATCCGGCTGCAGATTTTTGCAGTACGCCGTGCTCAAGGAGCACAGGTAAATGCTGCACTCAGAGTTCGTCATGAGGACCATTTTGACGAATTTTAACTTGGTGGAAGACTTGTTGGTCTTGCCCGTCGAACCGAATTGCCATCCGGTGTGGAGGCATTTCGCCTTGTTGTTCTTGTACTTCTCCAAGTCGTCCGCAGCGTCCTTACGCGGCGAAAACGGCGCCGTCATCGTGAAGTAGTCTTTTATGAAGATTTTCGACAGCTCCACTATGGCCATATCATGGAGATAGATGGTGTCGACGATGTTGCGGAATCCGTAGCCCGGGTGGAGGTAAACGCCTCTCACGGTCCTGTTTTGCTTCTTCGGGTTGTAGCTCGTGAGGTCGATCAAGCCGGACACGACCGACAGCTCTTCGGGCTCCCTGGTGAAAACGACCGTGCTGTTTTCTTTCCTCAAGGAAACGCAGCGCGCAGTAGTGAGCACATGACCCATGCTGACCAACGTCCCGCTGCATATGTGCCTTTTACCGAATTCCTGTACGCTGACGATGAACGGGAATTGCTTGATGAACGCGAAACCCTCTCCGGCCATTTTGTTGTGCGAACTGCTAGGCACGGTATAAACAGAAAGCGTTGCGAAAAAGACTTGAATAAAAACTTCAAACTTTGACATTTTACCCGGTTTCTAATACTTAATTTTCATAATATTTAATCGACTACTGATTATGCATTTTTCTTTTTAACAACTGTTTTTTCTAACATATTGATGTACGAAACTGTTTAAATTATCACGATTTTGAAGTCTCGTGATCATCTGATTAGAACAAAAAGACTCAAAATCTACCAATAACGAGAACATTTACAGTAAATAGCTGGTAAACGATAAATAAAATTATTTTTTGTAAGATGTAAGTTGATAAAAATAAAATGTAAAAGTTTATAACGTTCTGTTCATACTTGCCAATAAGAAGCTAAATATTAATTTTTTTTTTTTTTTTTTTGGGGGGGGGGTTTACGCTGGCATATTACTCATGAAGTTTTCTATTTTCATTTTACTTCGAGCGTGATCGGCTGACCAGGGCCAGGTCCCCGCCGCGCGCCCGCAACCACTCATTCAGCTCCATCATCTTCTCATATTCTAAATTTTTATGCTTCTAGATAATCAAAAAGAAACGTTTATCGACTTTAGGAATCCATAGATTATGTTGAAAGCTGATGGATTGTTGCTTATTAGGACAGATTCTAAGTTTATTGGTTTTGAAATGTTTGGGACTTTGCTCAGATTTTTTAGCAGTTTGTCTCTTTCATTTTTAAAATTAAAATATATTCTTTTAATTTTTTTTGCATTTTTGTATATACGTCACGAATTTACGAATAAATTCGATAAGAGGGGGGGCGTCGTTGGCCGCAACGGTTTAGGCGTTGACATGGTGCTCATCACAGTAAGGTAAAGGTCCCGGGTTCGAATCTATCTGCCCTGCATTCGTACCCGACATACTTACAAATGGGCTTTTTTCAAAAACACCGGCACCCCGAGGGTTGATATAACCTCTGCTGTTGCGAACCCTCGTTTAAAAAAAATTCGATACGAGGTTTAAAGAACAAAATTTTAAAGCTTTGAAAAAACAAAAATAGAGGACTGTGCTCTGTTGACAATATAGAAGCTGGCCGTATTTTCATGTAGTATAAGTATTGCCAACGAGAAATCGTCCAATGTAGTGAAAATGGTCAGTACATTAAAGAAAAAGGAAGGAAGAGATATAGTGAAAGAAAGACAGAGATAAATATTGGGTTGTCCGGAAAATAATGCAGGATTTTGGTATTAAACAAAAAAAAAGAAACTAGTTACTTTAAAGCAATGTTCTTTAATCAAAATAATTTCCCATNAAATGAGTAATCCTGTAAACGTAAACAGAATATTTTATATAGATTTTTTTTAATGAAAACTTAAAATCCTGCATTATTTTCCGGACAACCCAATAGTTAGATAGATAGATAATAAATGGACAGATAGAAGATAGATAGATAAATGAATCGATAAATAGATAGTGAAAGAGATAGATAGAGTAAGAGAAAGAAAAAAAGACATAGACAAAAACACCATTGAGAACATATTTTTTGCTTGCAAAACAAAAAAAATCGGGCATAACTCAGAAATGGTCGATCTTATCAAAATTTTTGCTTCAGTAAAAGTGGTATAAAATAAGCTCTAAAATCAAAATGAACAATAAAAATATGGGATTCTTATTTAAAATACCAAAATTAGTGTCATTTTTTAGCTAGATTAGAATGTTATGGAAAAATCTGTTGCCACGACACGATTTCTAGCCAAAGTTAACTTGGGGCTTGTATAAGACCATTTTTTGCTCAAGTCTAACTTTTCCAAATTTAATGGGTGGACTATAGAAGTTGATACAGATATGTAGAGAGAAAGAGAGAGAGTGTAAGAGAGAGAGAGAGAGATAGAGAGAGAGAGAGATAAAGGAAGAAAGAAAGAAATGTATAAATGGATAAATAGATAGAAAGACAGAAGGGTAGAGACGGACCCCCACCATAGTGAAAATAGAAATATTTTTTCGAAAAAATAGCACTATAATACTGAAAATGTCTATCAATTAATGGATCATTAAAATTGAGAAAAACTTACGGTTCATTAAAATCTTGAAATACATGATTAATAAAGGTAAAAATCACATTAAGAAATATATATTTAAATTGTTTAAGGTGGTAGACAATTTTTCGAAGAGCTGTTTTCATCACTATTGTTTTCTTTAATGCCATTTCTGCTCAATCGATCTTTGATACGATGTTTAATCATCAAACACTAATAATTTACCTTATTTTAGGAACCTTTCGAAGTCATTTTTATCTTGAAAGAGAGGCCAAAAAGTTACCAATTTCTATAATTTAATCTATTCAATCTATAACAATCCATACTTTTATTGTTTTATTTTTTAGTAAACTAGGATGTAGAGGTTTCTAAAAAATAGTGAATCCTTCGTGTTGGATAGAAAGAGTAAAGTTATCCCAGAAAGTAAAAAATTACTTTTTAGGAGGAGCGATTCTCTGATCAAGCTAGAATTTTTCCCCTTTAAAACCGAAATTACGCCTTAAAAACGTTACAAATTTATTATGAGTTTTAGTCGTGAAGGTAGTTTTTAAAACGAATTATACATAAGAGTCAAGAGCTTTGAAAAGGCGCAAGTCTTGGACAATCTTCTTTAAATGTCCAAATTACGAATCTTGTCAGGATTCGCATTTTTTCCTGCTTCCTTTGATACATTCTGTAACTTCTTTCCATCCGAAATTTGTTAGGAGATTCTTGGATTGTTTGTGTCCAATGAGTGAATTCCATTGATCCTTCATTTTCTTTTTGTCCATCTGTCTGAGTTACTCATTGATACTGTGGGTTTCTATGCCACAAAAGGGCTCGGGTCCTATTGGTAGTATAGCAGCCCTTTTCCTTGCAAGGGTGTCCGCTTTCTCGTTGCCTTCTACTCCCATGTGTCCTGGGACCCAGCAGAGGCTGACTTTATTCTGCATACCTAATATATTTAGTTTGGTTTTGCAGTTCGGCACCATCCTTGAACTAATGGTATTTGANTTTTGTTTATATATATATATATATAGATATATTTACGAGGGATCGCAACAGCAGAGGTCATATAAGCCCTCAGGGTGCCGGTGTTTTTAAAAAAAGCCAATTTGTAAGTATGTCGGGTACGAATGCAGGGCAGATAGATTCGAACCCGGGACCTTTACCTTACAGTGATGAACGCCGTGTGAACGCCTAAACAGTTGCGGCCATCCTACGTCCCTGGCATCAGGAGATAATTTATAGTTTTGTAAATGAATGGTCAGATAAGGAAAACGATTTTTTCGTTCGAAGAATTTTATCTTAACAAGAAAATATAAGCTTTGAAAAACACGACTCATTATAATATTTTCACCGTCAAACCAATTGTACTTAATAAAACACAGCGAAGAAATGACCTGAAAGTCCTTCATAGTAAGGATGCTTTTAAAGTCGTCACAATGCCTATATAAATTTACGAAACGATACCCGTCTATGGTGATCAGTTGTTGGACTGTTTTTCAACATTTCATACAATTTCCTATGGCAAACGAGCCGCTTTTAAAGAGCCGCCGATCGAATTTCTCCACCGTTTTTCACACAGTGAGGACACTTTCTCGACTTAAAATGGGCCATTTTCTTTGTAGACAGGGGTAAACATTGGTCAAAAACTGGAAAATGTATGAGAGTAACACAAACAGGTCAACGTCTAAAGACAGCCCCAGACCTAGATAAGATATTTATTATCGGTCAATCAATTTAATTCATTTTTTGTAGAAAATTATTTATCGACTTGTATTTAACATTCTTCCAATAGGAAGAAAACTGTGCCGTGGCCAGGGAGACTTCCATTTTCTTGTAATTCGAGCTGAAAACAATGCAATAGCCGGTGGATGCCCGGGCACTTACCCCCTGCCGGAATTTAATATGTGACACAATCTTGAGGCGATATCGGCCTACTACGTGAACAAACTGCTTCATGATACGGGGTTAAAAACAGCATTTTTCACCTGTGCAAACTGGGAATGCTGACGGTGGACAACGGATATGATTTCTGCTCGGAATTCGTGATCAGGAGTACTTGAAACAATTACCGCTTGCACAATTTGGGGTTAGGGATAAAAAAAAGCTGCCACAGGGCCTTCTGCCCTCGACCTGAATAAATCTATTGTACTCCTCTGTTTTTATAACTCACTGGAGAGTTTCAGGTTATTAATCAGCCTCCATAGTGCTGCCATTGGCTTTTTCGTGTAGGACCATGCTTGCGGTTTTTCATGTCCTAGTTGCAAGAACCTGCACCTACGTAGAACTTCACAGAAACGTAAAATGTGTTCTGCTGTCTCTTCCTCCTCCATTCAGTATCTGCAGAGTTTCTTCTATCAGTATTCCTATCGAGTTCATGTGCTTTCTTAAGTGGCAATATCTTGTCAGGAGTCCAACCAGAATCCTGGTTCTGTTGCGGTTGCCTTCCTGTAATTGTTTTGTAAGTTTTGCGGATGGCCCTTCCATGAATTTCTTCGCGTGTCTCATACCGTGGATATTGTTCCACCAAGTTTTGGACTCATAAAGAATCCATTTTAAAATGTATTTGTGGCCATTGTAGCAGGATGCTAAGCCACAGTAGGGTTCAGGAACCAGAGAGTCTAGGTTGGCCCTCCTTTTGGCCAACATGACAACCTTTTCCTTGCCTTAATGCCCCGAATACCCAGAAACATAAGCCAGGGTCGGGTCTTTAGAATCTGTCAGTTCCAGATACTCTTTGCCTTCACCTCGCAAGAGGCTAGAGTTTTAACGCTTCGCCAATTATGCTTTGTGTAGTAGGTATTTTTTATGAAGGTTCGCAATAGCAGAGGTCATATAATCCCTCAGAGTGCCGTGTTTTTGAAAAAAAACCCATTTTTCAGTATGTCGGATTTCAACGCAGGGCCGCTGGATTCGAACCCGGGACCTTTACCTTAAGTGATGAGCGCCGTGTCAACGCCCAAACCGTTGCGGCCACCGACGCCCCCAGGATGTATATATTATTTCGTTAATCGCTATTTCTTTACTACTATAATTTATTAATTTTTTATTTTGTTTTTCATTAGTAATCTCGACTCCAGCTGACGGATAAAATTCTACTGTAAAAAAATATTTTAGTAATTTTAAATATAATGTATTGTTATTGCTGTTATTATCCCAACAAAGTATATTTTTATTATAATTCTCATCATAAATGCAAAAATATAAAATAGAAGCTGTTTTTGTTTCATTGGAAATGCTCATTGTGTTAATTTTATTTGTCCTCTGGTTTAACAACACGTGTAATTTTTCTTCCGACCCATAAGGAAAGGGAAACGGGCCAGTTTTCCTCAGAGAAACACTTTATTAACCTCGGAAAAAATTTCAGGCCGGGAGTGTATGAAATGTGTATCAATTTATAAAACGGTCTGGGTTAAAGGTGAAGTAAGGGGGTTGGGGAAATGTCAGACGACATATCGGCCTGAAGGCTCGGTTAATGATTTCCTCTCTACCCCCTGTTCATTCGGCAACCCCGGCCCTAAAGAAATTTTACCAATTTTTCCCCCAACAAATGGGTACATCATTCGAGATGGGAATAGGTGAAAGGCGAGCGAGAGTGGGTAAAGAAAAGGTAAGGGCTTTATTGTTACAAAGTGGCTGTTATAGACAAAAAACACCCAACAATGGGACTTTGTCGATAAATAAATTATAATTTGTTTTCAAACTCTTTTTTAATGCATCATATCCTTGATGGTCTTGCAAATCCTCTTCTAGCCATGTCTGCATGTTCATTACCCAGGATTCCCTAGCACCCAAGATATTTTTTTACGAGAGTAACAGCAGAGGTCATAAAAACCCTCAGAGTGCCAGTGTTTTGAAAAAAGCCCATTTGTAAGTATGTCGGGTTCGAATGTAGGGCTGATGGATTCGAACCCGGGACCTTTACCTCACAGTGATGAGCGCCGTGTCAACGCCTAAACCGTTGCGGCCACAGACCCCCCCCCATATAGTCGTATTATTATAAAAAGTAACGTTTGTCGTCTGTTTTGGCTGGATATAAAAATAAAATAAAAAAAGGAAATAAAGAAAAAACTTACGATTTGGCGTGGACTGTATAAAGAGAAAAGGACTCACTCACTGAAGGGTCGTAGCGAGGTTGGGGCCTCGTTGCAACGCCGTAGAACGACCTATGGTTCAGGAAGTAAAGGATAGGATGGGAAATTTTGGGAATATTAAAGGAAAATTTAAGGAGAAAATGAGAGGTGCTCATAGGAGAGACTTTATAAAAAGAGGAGAGGTGAGGGAGAAGTTTTTCAAAACGGAGACAGAGAAATCAGAACTGATGGAAAAAGGACGAAGAGAGAGGTTTAGGAAAGGACTCAAAGGGTCAAAGTGCAGGGCCATTATTTTGCTCTGGCCAAAACATCGTCATATTTTCGTACTTTTCTCCTAATGTATTTTTTTCCTTTGATTAATTTAGTTTTGTCCAGCCTACTCTCTAACCCTTTCATCCCACAATATTCGAAATTTAAGGTTTTTAAGGCAGTATGTCGATTGATGGTGTGCTACCTTCTCAGGTTTAAGTATACCGAGGTATTGATTTAGTCGAATCTTTTCAACGTTGATTTATTAAAAAATTATTTTCCTACTTTTGCTCCGAACTACATGCTCTACTATTTAAGCAGGACCTTCTCTTGACCATCCCAATCTTGTTTAAAATTGAAAAACTGATTAAGAAAAGGGGGCAAAGAATACACCCCTGCATAACACCCGACTCCTACGCTAAACCAATCTAAAGCAGCCCTTACTCAATCAATATTATTGACAATATCAGTATTGTCAATACAGCCGTTTACTCCTTGAGGATACCACCGTCAATATCGTCATACCCTACGCGGTCAATATTATTGTCAATAATCATATCAATTATCAACGTGCTCAGTACATTTGTTTCCATCTTTCGGACAAGTGAAATTGTGTCTTTCCAAGTAAATTTTCGAGGCGTCCTTTGTTTTGAAAACATGGGCAAACGAAAAAATGTTGTGTTGCCATAATTATGGCTATCGGAAGTATTCGACGAGTTCAGCGAAATCGATGGATGAAAGATTGGTTGAAGAAACGCGAAGAATCTTCTCATATGAGGCTGCTGAGGGAAATCAGAAGGTGGAACCACTCTTGAGAAAGCAGAACACAAACATGAGGGAATACATCCCCGTTATGAGAGATTAGTCTTAACCCTGAGCTACTTAGCTACAGGAAGAAATTGTAAAGATTAGAATTTCTCTGTCATCATGTCGCCGGCAACTATCAGCGAAGCTATAATTGAAACGTGTCTAACTCAAATTGCTCAATAAAGATCCGTAGGGCTTCTTCTTCCGGGCGTTCAGTCCCCTCGTCGCATACATTATTTCTTCTACCTGAATCATTTACCGTTACAAAGTCTTCAGACATTGTCTCAAGGTCAATCGTCTATAATCCTCCGCACAAAGACACTTCCTATTTTACAACAACTGAGTATTGACATTATTATTGAATATGCCCCTAGACGCTCAATAATATTGGACAATATTCTCTCCAATTTTTAATATTGACGTCCGGAGATCAGTAAATCTGGATTTCATTAATATCGTTTCAATATCGACCGTCATTACTCTTTTTTTCGCCTTACACAATCAATATTATTGTCAATATCATACCGTACTGTCAATATTTTTGAATATGCCCCTAGACGCTCAATAATATTGACAACATCCCCTCCCCTTTTAAATATTGACGTCCCGAGATCAGAAAATCGGGATTTCATCAATATCGCTTCAATATCGACTGTCAATACTCTTTTTTTTTCACAATATTATTGTCAATATCATTGAATATACCCCTAGACGATCAATAATATGGACAACAGCCCCTTCACTTTTAAATGCTGAAGTCCCGAGATCAGAAAATCTGGTCTTCATCGATATCGCTTCAATATCGACTGTAAATACTCTTTTTTTCACGTTATATGATCAATATTATTGTCAATATCATACTTTATTGTCAATATTATTAAATATGCCCCTAGGCGTGCAGTATTGGACAATATCCTCTTCAATGTTTAATATTGACGTACCGAGATCAGAAAATGTGGATTTCATCAATATCGCTTAAATATCGACTGTCAATACTCTTTTTTTACCTTACGTGATCAATATTATTGTCAATGTCATACTGTATTGACAGTATTATTGAATATGAACCTAGACGCTCAATAATATTGACAATAGCCCCTCCCCTTTTAAATATTGACGTCCCGAGATCAGAAAATTTGGATTTCATCAATAACGACTGTCAATACTTTTTTTTTCACCGTACATGATCAATATTATTGTTAATATCATACTTTATTTCAATATAATTGAATATGCCTCTAGACGCTCAATAATATTGGACAATATCCTCTTCAATTTTTAATATTGACGTCCCGAGATGTTTTTTATCAAAAAAAGTTTTTTATCTCAACTAAAAACCTTCATTAATTGTAAGATATTAATTGGTCAAGCGGACCATGAAACTAGAGAATTTAATCAGTTTAAAATGAAGTATACCTTCACTAAAGCTCTCCGTGGCCATTTCATTTGTCACCGAGAATCAAATAGATTACACGACATTAGAAAAATGGCAAAAAGGAGGGAAAATTAAAAAAAGGTGTGGTTGAGATGGTTAGTTAGTGTCCGAGTGGATCGAGGTCACGATAGCTCAAGTGGTAGAGCAGCGGCGTGTCAAGCCGAAGATCGTGGGTTCGAATCCCGCTCGTGCCATTGACTTTTTTGTCTCAACTAAAAAACCTTAATTAATTGTAAAATATTATTGTCAATATCATACTGCATTGTCAATATTATTGATCGTGCAAGGGTCGCATGATATACCTGCTTTTCTCCGTACTAAGATGCTTCTATCTTAAAAAGACTTTATTATATGAATTAATTTAGTATAAATGCCGATGTAATAAAGTTTTAGTATTAGTGGTTGCACACAACAAAGGCTGCCTTCAAATCAAATAAAATACCATATACCTTTTGTCTTCTTTTCACCAATCTTAACATAATAATATCTGGTAAAACGAAAAATCTATTCTCAAGTGTCCTCGGCGAAAACCTCCTCATTCTTGTATTTATGTTTATTTTTTTAACTAGCTAATTTACTATAACTTTTTAAATTAAATAATTATTTTACGCAAAGTAAGGTTGATATGAAAAATTAATGTGTCGAGCGAAACTCACGACATCCTGACCTTACTTTGCATAAAATAATTAATTAACTAAAAATATAAACTAAGATTAGTTGAGAAGATTTTTAGATTGATTTTACTTAATTTTTTGACTGTTATTTGTATATATTTTGTAACAGTTATTCAATAGGCATTGATGTTGTACCGGCCTGTTTTCCATCTGGTTGATTTCTTTTTACAAAGAACCAAATTCAGGAAAAGTCGAGAAATTTTTCGTTATTTCTAACTTTTGGAGAATGCATGAGTTAAGATGTTTTATTTATGAGCTGTTCTTAATAGACGTTAACATGACGACGGAGAACAGGATAAAGGACGTGCGTCGCTGTTCGCCTCGGTTCAGAAGTCTATAGGAATTCAGAGCACGAAAAAACCTGCGGACTGTCAAAACCGATATGTAATTTTCAGGTACGTCCGCCATGCCGCAGGAGTACCGGCTGGAGACGTGCATGCCGAAGAAGCGACCGTCGCAAACCAGGGGAGTACCAGAACCAGCGAAACAAGGCGACCACGATTGATATTCCGAAAGGGCGCAAATCACTTCCAACTTTGTCGCGTTATAAACGCCGCACGAATCGGGATACGCTTTGCAAAACATCCTATCGCACTGGTCATCCGGTAAAACCTTCATCCACAGAAACTTCAGGAAAGAAGGAGAGGAGGTTACGCCGGATCGGCCAGTCCACCATCCCGGATGGAGGCAGAGGCGGTACTTGTCAGATTTAAGCTCGTTCAATTGGGATTCCGTGCGTTCTTCTCTTGGGAATACAACACTGCGTGTAAAAGAGTAATCTTCGACTTCGAAGATGAGTTTCAAAAGAGCCATATCGCCTAGCCAAAAACCTGTGAGCGTACTGTGCTCCCTGAAACCCTCGTTCAGTATGATCTCGTCGACTGGACGAAACCGTGCCCCGGGTTCCAGAACTTTGATGTCTCTGGTGCCGGTCAGGACGACAAAGTCTGCAGCGAGCCTTGGATGAAGGACGCCGTTCTTCAGCGATCGCCAGGAAACGCAGTGAGCGGCTGTAAAAACGAACCAGGGGTTGACAAGCGTACCGCCGCACCTGTGCGAGTAGATTACCGACGAATTGAATCTGCTCTTTTCTTGGACGCTCACAACGAAAGAAAATTCCGACTGATCGGCGAAATACCCGCCTACGATTTTCCCGTCCTCCGCGCGGCACGTCAACAATGTCAGTACAAACAACAAACAATGTTCCTTTAAAAGGGCCGACAACATTTCAAAGCTATCACCTGATATCTCAAAATTTCTAAATTTTTAAATGTAAAACAACGCAACCTGCTAAATAGTATGAAAATATAGTCGGCGGGGGAAAAAAAAACACCCTTATATTTTGTCTATACATTTATAATTGCGAGAGTTTTTTTATTAACATAAATTACTGTCATCTAAATTTTAACCAAATTTTCGTACATAATTACCAGTAAAATTTTAATCATGTTGAACCGGCACACGGGCACTACTGGGTCTGTCTTCACTCGCGGGGTTTTTGTTTGAGTATTCAAACGCGTTTCGGCATTACGCCATCTTCAGTGAAAAACTGTCTGTCATTTAGTCTGAGTGGGGTTTATATAGTGTTGCGTCCGTCGCTTGTCGCTGGGGGCGTTGCGTTAGGGGGCGTGGTCTCCGTGCTCGTTGGTCGGTCTTGGTAGCGGTTATTTCCATTGTCAGTTATTATTTGTGCGTTGTTGGTTTTTTGTTTTTTTCTGGTGTTGGTTGCGATGTTTTGTTCTTCTGAACGTTTTCGTTTTTTGTTATGGAGTGTTTTTAGTGGTGTGATGGTGGTGTGTGATTATGAGTTTGTTTGTGCGTTTATAAGTTTTTCCGTCTTTAAGTGTTATTTGTTTGTATATCTCGAGGTTCTCCAGTATGTTTAGTTTTCGTCCTTTTTGTGCGTTGTGTATTAATGTCATGCTTGTTTCTATTGTGTTTGGTTCGTGGTTGTAGTGTATTAAGTGTGTGGCGTAATTTGATTTTCCGTCATTGTCTCTGAAGGATCTGAGATGTTCTTTGAATCGATCTCTTAGTTTCCTTCCAGTCTGTCCGATGTAAGTGTCCGCATGCACAACGGTGTTTATAGCATCACATGTCAATGCGGATACACTACACGGAAGAAGTGTGATGGTATGGGGTGGCATCAGTTACAATAAGAAAACGGAAATTTTATTTATTTCTGATAAAACGAACAGTATGAAATATCTAGAATTAATATAAAATAAATTAACAAATTACCCCAAGACAGTACCGAGTGAGTAATAGGTATTCCAGCAGGACAATGACCCTGTTTTAGTTTAAAAATGGCCAGCTATATCTCCAGATTTTAACGTAATTAAAAACGTCTGGGGACACCTTGTCAAGGCGGTTTATAAGGTTGCCATCAGTTCCAGAAGAGAGAAGAAATGAAACGCTTGAAACAAAAAAAGAAAGAAATTTTCTCAATTTATTCGGCGCCTTTACGACCTTCCAAATCGAATGCTAACTGGTGTGGAGAAAGGTAGAGCCTATACTACTATTTCCAGGGCTAAATACTTTACTGGCAGAAAATTACCAAGATATATTTAAAAAGGAACAAAACAAGTTATTTGTGATTTTAAAAAGTTAACGAAAACCGTAAAATTTAAAACATTATACACAAAAATATTAAGATGGGCTCAATTTTTACATCAGAGCTTATCATAAAAAAGAAAGAAGGTTAACGGTTTGTCTTAAGAATCGATACTATACCAACTGAATGTTGTTAAACAACCAAAAAGATAATTTCTTCTTCCTTCTCTTCATTTGTTCATTTTAGAAAATCCTAGTTTTTCATAGCGATAAGTGTCCCAGTGTATAAACATATCAATCCACGAAAGCCAGGTTTGGAATATGATTCCACTTCAAACTGCAACAATCCATATTGACAAAACAAGAACTTGAAAAACAGTTTATATTTCCATTTTGTACAACAAAATAACTAAACTACCAGAAGGCAAATAATCCACAGATATGACGATGAAAATTTGGAAGCATGTTTTTTCCAGAAACAGATAATAAAACCGCACAAATTACCTTGGCGTAATTATTGATAAAAATTGAGGGAGCAGTGCTTAAAATTTCAAAATCTCTTAGATACTTAGCGCATTTTTTTGTATTAAGAAGACTTTCTTTATTTTAATCATTTAAAAAAATTTCGTTGAACTATATATTTCTGTTTCCCAAAGATGGAATAAACCGAAGTGGGAGTGGCTAAATTAATGATTTTACCAATAGGGTGGAGCTAGGAAGAAAGGCTTTATGCGAAGATTCCGTGCATCAATACTTAACCACTCCCACTTTAACGAAATTGTACAACATTGATTATAATGCCGTAAAACGATTCATTTCAATCTATTCCATCGTGAGAACAAACCTTGTAATAATGTCGAAATTAAAAAATGTTTTAATCTCTCTCTCTCTCTCTCTCTCTCTCTCTCTCTCTCTCTCTCTCTCTCTCTCTCTCTCTCTCTCTCTCTCTCGGTCGTTTGCAACATAAATTTGCCAGATTTTTTTAAATAAAACGATATTCATTCATCCATTTACTCTCAAACTTAATTATTCAGAAATCGTGAGATGCGGTCTGGTGTGATGTAGATTTCAGAAAAACATTTTCTTTATCGTGCCAACGTTTCGATCTTTATCGAGATTATCTTCAGGGCCTGGGATTTACAAACATTGTTTACATTTAACAAATACATTTGGGTTGTTGAAAAGTGAATTTATACAATGCAAAATATATTTTTTATATTCAATCAAAGTATTTCTACTCACTCAAAGTGTTTGTCTTCTGTGTAATTATGTCATTCTTACGTGTCGTGTTGAGAGTGCCAGTAAGATTTTGCTGTTTTATGTTTATATACGTTGGATTTTGAAGGGGTGGGGAAGGAAGTCGTTATAGAAACGCCAAAAATCCAAAAATATTACATACAGAACAAAACAAACATAAACGTAATTTCTTAGAAATGTTTCGACTTCAAAAATCCAAAAATATTACATACAGAACAAAACAAACATAAACGTAATTTCTTAGAAATGGTTTACATCTTCCTTCCCCACCCCTTCAAAATCCAACGTATATAAACATAAAACAGCAAAATCTTACTGGCACTCTCAACACGACACGCAAGAATGACATAATTACACAGAAGACAAACACTTTGAGTGAGTAGAAATACTTTGAGTGAGTAGAAATACTTTGATTGAATATAAAAAATATATTTTGCATTGTATAAATTCACTTTTCCACATCCTAAATGTACTTGTTAAATGTAAACAATGTTTGTAAATCCCAGACCCTGAAGATGATCTCAATAAAGATCGAAACGTTGGCACAATAAAAAAATGTTTTTCTGAAACCTACATCACACCAGACCGCATCTCACGATTTCTGAATAATTATCGATTAACGGTCACTAATCACTCTCAAACTTTGACGTTTGACCACATCCTTTCTCCTGCGTATGTGTGAAAAGAAAGACCAAGATGAACAAAAACGATATAATACCTGACAAATATGTGACTTTTGAAATTTTATCCAGTACTTTGTTAGTTTTTCTAGGTAGTTATAGAAAAGTTTTCTTCGAGTCTGTCACAAAATATTAATAGGTTTCCTTAGTGACTTGATTATTAAGTACCTGGCAAAATGGCGACTCTATGGTTATAATATTACTCGCCAATTTGTATCGAATTTTCTCTAGCTTGAGAGTAATATTCTTGTTTTTTTTTATGTTTTATGATGTTCGATGTAGCCGACATATGTTCGCCCGAATCGACGTAACACCCTGATATAAGTAGCCTACAATATGCATCTATTAAAGAAAGCCCCCCCTTTCCACTTTTTTCCTCTCTTTAAAACTTCTCCACTCTTTTTCACGACTTTTAATTGGGAAAGTTTCGATAGGGGTTCGAAGGAGGCCCGGATGTTTTGTTAAATCGTTTGAAGGGGGAAGTCTCAATTCGGATATTCACCGAGGCCCGGTTGATAACATCGATTTGTCCCGGTGACAAAGGCAATTTCACGGTGCAGTCGATCGGGACGAAAGGGTACTTGTTGCATTCACGCCGGTCTCATTAAGCGTTTTTGACCTCTGAATCTACACCCCAGCAGTGAATTTTAAAGAAAATTAAGGGATGAAATTGTCTATGAACTATCATACAGCTTGAATGAGTCAAGTGGAAAAATTTCGCTTTGGCGGAAGAGCTTTTACCAAGCCGACTGGAAGGATTGAAGCCTAATTAAGCGTTTAATTAATTGAGTCGTAATAAAATTTCATTCTTTTATAAATATAAAAATAAACTAAAAATTTTGAAAATATTCGCCATTTATTAGCCAGTTAGTGATGCTGGAAGGTCCAATCTCTACAACATCTGCACTTCCAGCATACCGACAATCTTATCTACACTCCAATCCTATTCTAGCGACAGAACCAATCCAACAATATCTGAACCTCATTACCGACTGGTGCATTAGGTGGCGGACCAGGTTGAAAGGTCACGTTTAGGGATGGTTAGAGCTTGGCAACCTCTCTGAAGCACAAGCTGTACTCGTGTCGGTATGGGGCGGCGGCTGCCTTATCAGAGGCACACGTGGCTTAGGGCACCAGATCCTGTCTGCATATACGGGGGAGGGTGCATCACCATCTATACTATGGGGTAACGGAAATGTTCCAAGGTTCAGCCCCTGTTACAATTGGGTACTCGTAGTTGGCCGTGGTGAGACATCTGGTGGGTACTTAGAGAAGAGATATTGCGGACCCGACCACTCGGAATAGGCAAGCGGAGAGCGAGGTTATCTTGGCCCCTCGGGGCTGAGCCGCCTCTACACCAACGCTGCGTAGTAACACCCTTCTGTCGTATGCGGAGGTGCCTCAGCTCTCATCTTGAGAATCAAAACACCGTTAAGGCTGAATAGGCTAGGTGCGGACGTTAAAGATCCTCATTGTCCTTTTTAGGATGACTGAGTATACGGGGAACAAAGGTCACGTTTACGCTCAAACGACCAAACAGCCCACCAGTGCATATACACAATGATAATACCACCATCCGACCAAGTCCGCTACCTTGGGCTTCATTTAGATAGCAGACTTACATGGAATCCGCCTAGAATTTATCAAACGATAAGTTCTACTCAGACACCTACTGAGACCAATATCAACTAAGAATACATAAAAAACCCATCGCTTTCAGGTTTTCAGACCTATTTGGATTTACGAAGTCAAACTGTAGGTCTCACCAAATCCTCCAACTTACAACGAAATCAATCCTCAATCAAAGAACTTTGATTTCAACTTCAAATTCGGACTGGCCAAAACAACGCACAACTAGTAAAATCATCCAAGTTAGCCGTACCAAATTTGTTACATCAACCAACATAGCCACGCCTAACTAGCCTTGTCAACACTAAGCACGCTCAACCTTGGCCAATTAACCAAATAATTTCTTTCAACGAATTATTCTTTCTATGTAAGGTCTTGGTTGAGATAAAAAAAGTCAATGTCACGAGCGGGATTCGAACCCACGACCTTCGGCTCAATACGCCGCTATCGTGAACTCGATCCACTCGGACACTGACTTCCTAACTCAACCCAACCTTTCGAATTTTCTCTCCTTTTTGCCATTTTTCAGTGGATCTATCCAAAAAAAAGTCAAGAAGTCAAAAAGTCCAAAAGAAGTTATTTGGTCAATCGGACAACGAAATCTAATGGATTTAATAAGTAAAATGAAGTATATTTTCATTAAACCTCTCCGTGGCCTTTTCATTTGTCGCCGAGAATCAAATAGATTACACGACATTTGAAAAATGGCAAAAAGGAGGGAAAATTCAAAAGGTGGGGTTGAGATGGGAGGTTAGTGGCCGAGTGGATCCAAGTCATGATAGCTCAACTGGTAGATCAGCGGCGTATTGAGCCGAAGGTCGAAGGTTCGAATCCCGCTCGTGACACTGACTTTTTTTATCCCAACCAATACCTTACATAAAGATTAAATTTATTGTAAAACCTCTTGATTAGAGGACTTCTACAAGTTTGAAGAAGCACAAGAAGAAAGATGAACGAAACGCCGAGCAAAGCGACAAAATCGTCGTTGGCCAACGACCAAAATCGGAACAACAATATAGGCCTCTCAATTGGCTTCCACGATTAAAATGCGTCCGTCGTTACAAACCACGAAAATAAAACACGAGGCGGATAATCCAATCCAGACGAGGAAATGAATAACGAGTTAAAAAAGTTAATTATGTATCCGGCCGGGGGTGTCCCATTGTGGCTCGGCATTTCCTTATTATGAAGGGTGAAACGAGGGGACAATGGGGCCACCCCTCGCAAACATACTCATCAATCGCCCACTCGATCGGTTTATTCTCCAGCAGTCCTTTATTAACCGGAGACGAATCGCCCCTCCGGATTATCCACCTGGCAAATTAGTTTTTCAACCTTTCTTCAACCGTCCAGGCCAATCTGTCAGGGAAAGATCGGAATTCATCAACTGCAGGTAACTACTCACCAACGATAATTGATTTTTCACCTTGGGGTTTAATATAATTATTATCTTTTTAACCCTCATATTTCAACTATATTAGTTGCACAATTTTATCATTTTGTTTAATAATTAAACACTCGTGACAAATCCACAATTCATTCAAACCAACAGCCTTACAAGAGGACGACCAGGTTTAGGGGACCACGGATTTAAACCAATCTTTTTTGGTGAATTTACACTCCAAAATATTAGACACTTATCAGAGACTCCTTGTGAATAGACACTGATTTCGCCAGAAAAAAATTTAAAAGTTGAAATTTTTCGTATTTTAATATTTTTATTGCGTCTTTCTACTACAACTATGTGAAGATACCATTTTACAGCACTTTTTATGTAGATTGCAATAAAACTTTATCAACAACCAAGAAATTTCTAAAAAACCAGATATTTTTTAAGTAGACTATTAATATTTTTTTTCGTGAAACTTTCGCTGAAATTTCGCTTTAGCACTTCTAAAGACTCCTAAATAGAAATTTATGTATTAATTTAAATTTTTTATAGATTTTTGACCCTCAAATTTTTTCCGATTTTCAAGAAATCGTTATCGGAATCTGATTGAAACGGCTATAATTCTGAAACATCTGCTTTTTTCTTAGTGCTTCGATGATCTGCATCCTTATTGTACTTTTTAGACTCAGGGATTTAAAATTTCTCAAAACTGCTCTGGGAAAAATGTGTTTAACATCTTCATCTTCAAGTTTACAAGGGGACGACCGAGTTGGAAAATCACGGAGTTAGGCCAAACGTTTTTCAAAATCTAAAATATTGGACACCTGTACGCCACTTTTTGTGAATAAACCCTGGTTTCGCCAAAAAAAAATTGAACTTTTCCGTTTTTTAATATTTTTATTTCGCCTGTCGATTTCCTCAAATCACCTATTTGAATACACCATTTTACAACATATTTTGTATGCAAATTGCAATAAAAATATAGTGAAAGCCATCAAAGTTTATCGATAACTAAACTATTTCTAAAACGAATTTTCATATTAATTTCGTTTTAGCACCTATAAAGACTCCTAAATATAAATTTTTGTGAAAATTTAACTTTATAGGTTTTTTAACCATTAAAATTTTTCCGATTTTTGAGAAGTCGTTATCAGAATCTTATTGAAACCTACTCTGCTTCCGGAATGGTTGTTAAAATATGCAGGAAAGCAGTATTTCCTTGACTTGTTTTTTTTTCTAAATCATAACAAATTTTCTGCTTTGTAGAATAATTTTTATTTTATGTAAACCAACGATGAAATTGATAGAAATTTTTTTTTTAAATATCGAAATAACGATTATGCGAATTGAACTGCGACTAATATCAGATTTTGTACAATGTTTAATTAACCCAAATTAGTCGTTTTTTTAAGACTTCCCTTACGTCGATTTCTAATCAAAACGTTGTTACTGGAAAAGTGGAGTCTTTGTTAAACAATAATACTAAAATACGGAAATTTTCAACTTTCAAAAAAAACCTTCCATACGGGATTTGAACCCACGACCTTCGGCTAAATACGCCAATTTTGACATTTCTAGACAATTTATTTAATTAAATTTATAAAATTCATTAGATTTTGTGATCCGATTGACCAAATAACTTCTTTCAATTAATTAATCTTTACGTAAGGTATTGGTTGAGATAAAAAAGTCAGTGTCACGAGCGGGATTCGAACCCACGACCAAAATACGCCACTGCTGTACCACTTGAGCTATCGTGATTCGATCCGCTCGGACACTAACTTTCCATCTCAACCCCACCTTTTGAATTTTCCCTCCTTTTTGCTATTTTTCAAATGTCGTGTAATCTATTTGATTCTCCAGTGTGGATCGAATTGGTAGAGCAGCGGCGTATTTAGCCGACGGTCGTGGGTTCGAATCGTGGGTTTTACTTATTAAATCCATTAAATTTCGTGGACCGATTGACCACATAACTTCTTTCAATTAATTAATCTTTATGTAAGGTATTGATTGAAATAAAAAAGCCAGGGTCACGATAGCTCAAATGGTCGAGCAGCGTATTTTGGTCGTGGGTTCGAATGCCGCTCGTGAAACTGACTTTTTTATCTCAACCAATACCTTACATAAAGATTAATTAAAAGATGTTATTTGGTCAATCGGACCACGAAATGTAATGGTTTCCATAACAAAATTGGCAAAATCAGGGCCTATTCAAAAGACGATGCGCATAAGTGTCCGTTATTTTGGAGAGCAGAATCACCAAGAAATGTTTGGTCCAAATCCGTACCCATAACCAGTGCCCTTTCTAGTGAAGTAGTCTGTCCATTTTTCCAACGGTTTGTTGAAAAGAGGAAAAAAGTCCATTTTTTAAAGCCTCTGATGCTTGATTTTTATACAATTCTATGAATTAGTGTCAGAACACACATGCACACACATAAAACAGCGGAAGAACAATGCCTTTAAACAAGTAAAAGTGTAAATAGCTAAACATTTCTGGGTTCGATTCTGGGTTCGATTGATGTCCGGTCATAGGTGGGTGTTTCGGGTGATAATGAACGACCAGCTATCGCTATTCGAAATATTTTCAATTTGATGAGACCTTCCGCCCGTGTAATGGCTTCGAACGACGTTTCAGCAAATATCTCAATAGGGGCTCTGCATTGTTAGGGCGGGGTCTGTCTGATTTAAGACCAGTTAGCCACCGCGAATCAACATTGGGCCGACGAATCGCAGTTCATTTCATTCTTCAACTCATCTGTATGCAAATGCCCTGGACAAGCTGATACAATCTTATACAACTTACCATCAAGCAAGGTTTTTTCCTGAGTTTCGGAATTAATTCGTAAACGTTTACAGAAAAAACATGATGATACTCTTTCTCAACATGTTCGCGATTGTGTCTCAAGTGAGTGGACAGAGTTTGAATGAAGTTTGCGACGTGACCGCCTGCGAACTGAGGGACAGACTCGCTCAAACAAGCGATTTCAACTCCGAATTCGTCCTGTCGCAGTTGGCAAAGCTTGGAAAACGATTACGCTCACTCGAACAAACAGGTGATTTTGACGTCTTTTTTTTAAGTTAAGGCAAAGTTAAGTCCGGCCGTGCTGGGCTAACTTCAATTGTCAGTAAAATATCTATAAGGTTTCGTGATCTGATTACCAATTAATGATTTTCAATTAATTAATCTTTGAATAAGGTTATGATTCAGATAAAAAAGTCAGCGTTACGAGCGGGATTCGAACCCATGACCGTCGGCTAAATACGCCGCTGCTCTACCAATTCGATCCACACTGGAGAATCAAATAGATTACACGACATTTGAAAAATGGCAGAAAAGAAGAAAAATTCAAAAGGTGGGTTGATATGTGGAGTTGGTGTCCGAGTGGATCGAATTCATGATAGCTCAAGTGGTACAGCAGCGGCGTATTTAGCCAAGGGTCGTGGGTTCGAATCCTGCTCGTGACACTGACTTTTTTATCTGAACCAATACATGAATTAAAAATTAATTAATTGTCAGTACAGCGTTGAAAATAACCTAGTTGCACGATAGCTTTATTTTCTTAGCGCTTTTAATGTTTTTACTATTCATTTTTTTATCACAAAACAACTGGGCCAAATCTTTCGTTGAATAAATTCTCCGCGCGTTCGACCAATTTCCAGCTCAACTTTGAATTTGGCAATTTTGACCTAATCCTTTACCATCAAGAATTTCAATTATTTCCGTATTTCTAACACATGCAATTTAAAATATATTAAGTTTTTAGAGCATGGCAATATCGTTGTTGTTTAAAGTGGGCGTGGCTAATATGACAGATTTTACCGATAAGGCGTGATCATTGCTTGTTTAACACGATACTAACCTAAAATTAACCAAAAAACAGATTTAGCCATACATCACTGTTAAGTCAAAATAATTTATATACGTACTACCTTTTTTGTGTTTTTTTTAACCTCTGTTGATGTAAATCATTTCTAAGAATTTTTTTAAGTTGTGAGGAGCGGTCAAGAAAGAGATAGTTTAGAAAAACACCTTGTTCATTTTTTTGCCGACGTTTCAACCTTTATTCGGGTCATCTTCAGGGCATAAAGTGTAGTGCTATTTTTGTGGTATCATAGTTATGTGTCACAACACTTTCACATACCAATATGATATCACGAGAATAGCACCACACTGGCCTGAAGATGACCCGAATATAGGTTGAAACGTCGGCAAAAAAAATGAAAAAGGGGTTTTTCTAAACTTCTGAGGTAGTCTAGAAAAACACTTTTTTTCATTTCTTCTTGACCGCTCCTCACGACTTCACCTAATTATGAAACAACAGGTCACAAAAAAGCACACATTTCTAAAAAGTTACGTTTGTGTTTGTTATGTTCTGTGTCTAATATTTTTGGATTGTTGAAATCGAAATTGTGTTGGCGTTAAAAATGGTTGGTAGCCAGCGCTATAGAATTTTTTTTTGCAATCATAGATATATACTTTGTCCTTCTTATCCAGGTATTGGGATATAATTCCGATGTAAGTTGACGGACAATTTACACAGTTTTGTAAATTACATCAGACTTATTTGTTACATGTGTGGGAGCTTTAATTTTTGAAAAAGGAAGTTCATAGTTTTATAGTTTTGAAGGCTATTTTCGGTGAGTAATTTCACCGGTTTCAGGTGTGCAGTAGGTTTTAGAAAAACATTTTCTTTCTCGTACCAACGTTTCAATCTTTATTGAGATCATCTTCAGGTTCAAAGTGTTCGTTTTCTGTGTTGATATGTCATCACAATGTGTCGTGAGGCACTTTCAACACGACACTCAGTAATGGAACATCAACAGAAAGCAAGCACTTTGAACACTGAAGATGATCTCAATAAAGACCGAAACGTTGGTTCGATTAAGAAAAAATTTTTCTAAACCTACATCATACCAGACCGCATCTCACGATCTTCGAATAACCACTCTGCGATCTGTGTTTCTTGGTTTTTGATGCCATCTGGTTGTTTTATCACGAGTGTACATAAAAACGCTTTTTTTTTTTTTTTTTGATATTCATGTGTAAATTCAAAACGTGGGTGAAATTTAGTTCGAATTTGATCTGTGGGAACTGCTGTTAATAATATATTAGTGAGGAAGGGTAATGTGAAAGGAAAAAACGAAAAGATTGATAGATTAAAATAATTTTTCCATATTATCTGTAGATCATACAAAATAAATTATATTCATAGAACATTTATTATATGATTCGTTTTATTATCCTATGTTTTTCTATGTTTCAACTAAGTTTATTCAACGAAAACGCATAGAAAATACGTCGACCTAAAAGCTTTTAATAATTTGATGTTATGTGAGCAAAAACAAGAAGATTCAGAGAGCATAAAACGGTTTCAACCCCTTCCGAGTATTTCCAGGCCCTGAAGCGAGATCGTTTTTCGAAGATTACACGCGTCTGGACGCGGTGAAACGCGAAACGGCACAAGGCCGTTTTAACTTAGCGTACTTAGCATAAAATCCCGTCTCAGGAATGTTCCAACATGCAAAATGCATCGAGCACTGCCGACACCGCCTATCATTACGGACCAAACCGCGAATAACAAATTAGAACGGAGAATTACACCTGCATTCTTTTCAACTCATAACGGGAGAGTGTGATTTTACAAGGCACTGTTGCATTAATTCCCAATCCTTTGTATTAATATTCAACTTTCTACATCTAAAATATAAAACTCATAAAAACTTGAGCATGATAAGGAAAATGTCAGTAGCACAGTAGGCACGCATTACATCAACTATGTCGTTACTGCAGTCCACTAATTTTAGCTGTATTTAAGAAGATGATAATGATAATGGATTGTGCTCCCCAGGCATTGCAGCCTTCTGACTTATTGTACCTTCCTACTTCCCTAATCGTTCCAGTCGGCTCATTCCTTTTTCTTAGAAGTATCAGGTAATTGACTGTTGCTGCTACATTTTCATCCGTGGAGTTTTTGGTATCCTAGGTTATGTCTTCATTGAGTCATAACATAACCTTCGCATTCGAAAATGGTATGGCTGTCTGTTTCTTCCTCCTTGCATAATCTGCCAATTGTAACATCGTTTAACATGCCCATGTTGTATAGATGTTTTATCAGATGCCAGTGACCGGTTAATAGACCTATCACTTCTCGGCGTCTGGCCTTTTCCAATTGCAGAAGTTTTGGTGAAGGCTGTTTTAGGATGAGTTTAGTAGTGTCTAGCAAACCTAGAATTTATCCATTTTTTCTATCCATTCTGTGATGGAGGATTATGCATTTGTTGTTGTTATCCCTCCTCTGCCCTGTGTGTCCGCTTTTTCGTTACGCAAAATTCCTTTGTGTCATGGTGTCTAACATATCATCAGGTTGTTGTGTTTACCCAGGTTTTGGAGATTTTGGATGCATTCACTGACCATTTACTGAAAACAGTTTGATTTGATAATCGTACCATTGACAGCGCGTTAAGGCCATAAGCAGGGTGAGGAGGGTAATTAAATTTGGACGGTTCAAATAAAAGCTTACACTGCCCAGTAAATATTACTTCTCTTATGACTTAAATCAACAGTTTCTTTTTCTTTTTTTCTAGTTTCGTTTTTTATTTTTATTTCGTACTTTTATCGCGGTTGTTTTGCTCAATCAGATCAATCTCGCCATCTTTAGTCTTGGATTTTATGCTTAAAAAAACTATTTTTTGGTGTTGTTTTATGATTTGTGGCGTAAAGTTTGTCAGCGTTTATTATTGTTTAGTAGATTTATGTACATATAAATGGAAACCAACGTAAGACTTAAGATATTGCCTTGGATAACGTCAGGTTGACTGAAGTCCTACTAAGAGCATTACGACCAGGGTTTTGTAAAAACAAAACATTATACAACTAATAGTTTTCTGAACAAACTAAATTAAAAATATAAATGAAATGTAATTAAAATTAAACCTCTCAACATACCGCTCTCTCTATTACTTTTTTTTCTCACTCTATCTACCAATTTCAATCTACATACAATAATTAATATAAACGGAAACGAACAAAGGACCTATGATCTAGCTTTGGAGAAGGCCAGGTGCGATTTTAATGGAGGGAAAGAATGGCCAACTATTAGTAGTAGGTAGTATTACAACCCAGATTTCCTAAAAACGGCTAAAAATAAAAGTAACATATTTTTGAAAAAAAAATTAAAGCATTAAAGGAAAGAAAATGGATAATCACATTTAAGCCTCTCTCTATTTCCCTTTTTTCTCACTCTATCTAAATCTCTCCATGTTTATCTATATATCTATTAATCTATCTATGATTATTTTTGGTCGAGTAGTTCTGTATTTTTTGTTAGTCATATGTGTAGCGAATGTGGGCGTGACTAAATTAATGATTTCATTAGAGGGGCGTGGCTTGTGATTGGGGATTGAGCTAACTTAGCCACGCCTCCCAACCAGCAAAGTCATCTACACTTACTACACCAGTTGTTCATAATTGCATAATATTAATATAAATAAATTGATAAATAAAAAACATTATTCACAATGTAAGGATTTCTCAAGATTTAACGTACGTACATTTAAATATGTACATTGTACGTTTATAACAACTCCCTCTTTCTCTTTACTATGTGTTTTTCTAATCTATTTTAATTTATTTTTAAAGTGTATAATATTATCACCACCTCTTCCATAAGTTAGCAATCAGTAGGTTTTGATCTTATTTTTTCTAAGATAAACTTGTTTTGTTTTTGTTCGCTCATTTTATTTATTATTGTCAGGTTGGAAAATATCGTCCGGCTACGAAAGATGGTCGCTTTGCGAGAGAGGTCCTTGCAAATGTTCTCCAGAAACGAAAACCATCAATTGCTGGAGGCAGGGGCTGAAGGGCCTGCCCAGGAACCAGATCGTGCCGGTCGACGTCAAGAAAATGTAAGTAAGGGTCTCCAGTACGACCATCGATTAAATTTTCCCAATATTCCAAGAGAAAATGATTTATTTCTTTTCATGCAAATCGGCTCTAATGAGGAGTAAAGGGGAATTGGCATTTACCAAAAAAATTAAAAGAAAAGAAAAAAAAGATTTAATATCATTATCCGTTTTTCCCTCTTCTTCCCTGAGAAAAATCCAATTTTCGGTGGTTTATTTAATAATGGGCGAGAAAGCCTTTTATGCAAAAGTTGAGGGGCGTTATCAATAAAAGTTAAACTCGAGCCATTATAACATGTTAATAGCGAGACTCGAGAGACCGTCTTAATACTTAGCTCGTTACCCGCCTCCATATTCACCTTGTTAACCTTTGGATCTAGTAAAAAGAACAAGTTTATTGCAAAAAAAAGTGTTAAATGACATTTTTACATAAATTCCCGTTTTTAGCGATTTGGGCTTCAACAAAGTTTCTTCCCTCAACAAAGAAACTTTCATGGGCCTATCACAAATAACTGAGCTGTAAGTAAAAATATAATATTGCTAAATATATTGAAATTTCAGATTTTAATTGTTTCATTAGATTGATCAGAAAGTACATTTTGACAAAGATTTCTTTAATTATTTGTGAAACGTCTAATAATATAGTCATAATGGAAAAAATAAGGCGTAATCGTGAGGCAAGACCAGGTTAGAGTGATTTATTAAAAATTATAAACCAATTTGAGAGTTTGAACCGTGATGTGGTTTCTAATTAAAGACTAAGCTCATAGTTTCGATGAGTTTTTTCCTCTGAGTAGTTCACAGTGTTATATATTTATCCTGTTGGTAGAGTATTATACAAACAAAGATTTTATCTCAGTGCCTAGAAAGCATTCTCCTTCTCAAACGCCTCAACCCGAAGTTTTCCTCAAAATTTGGATAATCCGTCAACGAAATTAAATAAGTACCGAGATTGACATTTTTCCGGCGGAAAGTTCAGTTTTTTTCCGTGTTCCTTCAATGGTCGGTCGATTTAGAGTAGGCGTGGCTAAATTAATACCGTTGCTGATGGGGCATGGTCATTCAACTTAGCCACGCCCAGCTAGCAATTTAGCCTAAATTCATCACGTCCACTATGTTGTTAAATTGATCAAAAAGTACGTTTTGTCAAAGATTTATTTAATATTTGTAAAAATTTAATTAATTAATTTAATTATTTAGTTTAATAATATAGTCATAATGGTAAAAATAAAGCTTAATCGTGAGGCAAGACCAGGTTAGAGTGATTTGTTAAAAATTATAAACCAATTTGAGGGTTTGAACTGTGATGTGGTTTCTAATTAAAGACTAAGTTCATAGTTTCGTTGAGGTTTTTCCTCTGAGAAGTTCACAGTGTTATATATTTATCCTGTTAGTAGAGATTGTACAAGCAAAGGTTTTATCTCCGTACGTAGAAAACAATCTCCTTCTCAAGGCCTCAACAGGATTTTTTCCCCAAAATTTGGGTAATCCGTCAACGAAATTAAATAAGTACCGAGATTGATATTTTTTCGGAAGAAAATTCTGTTTTTCCATGCATATGTAGTCGCAATGGTCGATCGATTCAGAGTGGGCGTGGCTAAATTAATATCGTTGCCGACGAGGCGTGGTCATTCAACTTAGCCACGCCCAGATATCAATTTAGCCTAAACTGATCACTCCACTATGTCGTACATGGATAATATTAATAACAAATATACGAATGTAACTTTCAATAGGTATTGTGTGTCTTAAATAAACACAATAGTATGTAGTTAAAGTGGTGACAGTTATTTTCCGATGAAATGAATATTTTATTTTTTTTTACCAAAGGTATAAAAGTCAAAAGCGTCCAGAATAGTGCCTTTCCTTTTCATAGGGATGTTAGCTGTCAAGAGGGTAATGGAAAATTCAAATCATGTTTGCATCCTTTATGTGTCCGAAGAGAAGTGATGTCGAGTGGGCAGGCTTGTTGACACGATTGTTTTTGCACTTTTCTCCTCAAATGTCCCCCATCGAATTCAACCTCATCGTTCGACGAATGAAATTCGATTGAAATTATATTTATCAACCTTTTCATACTCAAATGTTAGTTGTTTTTTTTTATTATCTCTTTAATCTCAGAGACATGACGGCTAATGAAATCGATCATCTACCTCCAATGATTTTCGAGACGGTCGATAGTCTTCAACATTTGTGAGTAACAGATTTATAATCGACGAAATATATTTTTACAGTTTTATATTGTTTTGCGATAAAAATTCAAATTATGCTTCTGTCTGCAGGAGGCTGAGTGAAAACAGGCTCGAAGAGATCGACGACGGTTTGTTCGAACATGCTCACGCTTTAGAGACTCTGTGAGTAATTAAAACAATCCTCAATCCTTTTTTTTAAAAAAAAAAGCTTTTTTAGAGATCTAAGCAGGAATATGCTGGAAAGGGTGGCCGCAAGGCTTCTGAGGAACAGCCGCAAACTGTTGGCAGTTAACCTCAGCAGCAACAGAATCCGCAACATCTCGTCGGATTTCTTCAAAGGTCTGAACCGGCTAGAAGAAATCAACCTGTCCACAAACAACATAAAGATTTTACACGTTCACACCTTTAGAAAACTCACGAGACTCAGGGAACTAAATCTGTACGAAAATCTGATAAACTATCTGCCACCAGGTGAGCTTAGGACATTTCAACACTCTTTGAAGTTCTATGATTATGATTTTCAACTAAAACTCTTAAATAAAACTTTAAGAAATGTTTATCCGCTTTGAAAAGTTTATAATATTTATAAGTCGAGTTGTGGGATGACCTGTTGAGGTCTGCAGTGGTGTCTTTGTTTGGTCGTTTCCGATCATTTTGGTCTGGTTATCTTAACTGCTAACTATGACCAACATCAACGATAGGAAAACCCAAATGATCAGAAACGATAAAACTAAAGGTTTTTATGTTAGTCACTGATGATTTCACTTTTTAACTTTTACATTTAGAGAAGCTGTCCAGGAGGGGGTAAAACTAGTCTACTATCCTCTGCCTTAGAAAATAAGCTTTACTGCTTATCTATTTTGCTAGATGTTATAAAGGCATTTGACTGATGTGTCATCCCGATCTTCTTCTCAAATTAAAAAGTATTCTTACCAACACCTACCTAATTGCCTCTGAATTTTCAGGCATGAACCCATCAAGGCCGGCGTTCCCCAAGGGAGTATCTTAGGACCAATCCACTACACGTTCTACACTGACCTCCGTGGACGACACCACTCTCTTCATATTGTGACCTTATCCCAGTAGCAAAAGCAACCCAAGACTACCTAGACCTCACGACAGACTGGTGCACTCGGTGGCGCATCTAGCTAAATAAACAAAAACGAAAGCAAGTGACGTTCACACTTAAAAGAGGTATCTGCCCAGCAGTGTACACAAACACACACACAGAGAGAGAGAGAGAGAGAGAGAGAGAGAGAGAGAAAGAGAGTACGATAATCACATGATCCAAACAAATCCGCTACCTTTGGTTACACTTGGACAAAAAGCTTACATGGAATTTGCACATAACGACAAAAGACAAGAACTGAACCGAAGATAAGGACAACTCAGACGCCACTTTGTCCGAAATGCACAATGAGTACGCACAACAAACTAATAATAAACAAGACACTAATTAGACAGAACTTACGGAGTCGAGCTGTAGGATTCAGCCAAGCCATCTAACTTCCAAAGATTCCAAACCTTTCAATCAAACGTCCTTCGTCGAATCGTCAACGCTCCCTTCAAGGTCAAACCATCCACAAAGATATAGACATAACCTTCATGACTGACATGACCGAAACGTGATTTCAACCTTTCTACTCTAAGCTCGATCAACGCCAATCCACTAGGTTAAGTCCCATCCCAACAATCCTCTAAAGACGTGGCCTCGTGAACTCCAACCGTTCGCTTAAACCTCAAGCCGGAGGTCGTGGGTTCGAATCCCGCTCGTGACTCTAACTTTTTCATTTCATCCAAGACTTTACAAATTGTTAAATGAGCAAATTTTTGTTCAGAAAACAAATAAACTTGCAAAAATATATAAATATTTTGGAGATCGAGGGTGCATGGGTAGTAACTGTCAATGCTGTATATTAATACGTTAATTCATCCATACAGTTTGTTTAATCGTTTAAATTTCAGTTTCTAACTTCATATTTCAAACAAAATTCAATAATTAAATAGAGTTTGTATTAAAAAAGAAGAGGGTAGCTGGCGAAGCAGGGGATGGTTTTATTAATTGAGTGACCATAGGTTAATTCGATTTAGGAGGGAACTAATTCGACGTTGGATATTTGTTCAAAGGGATGTTCGACGATCAAAGTTCACTGGAACTGCTGAATTTGAGGAAGAACAGGCTGACTTTTATTAAGGCCGGGCTGTTCGATAATCTGCCCAGGCTTTTATTCCTGGATCTCACGGCTAATTGGATATCCAAGGTGGGTTTACATCCTTAACAAACGAAAATTTTTACCTCAAAGAGGTGAAATTTTGTGAAACGTTTTAGCTCAACGGTTTGGAGTTCAGAAAATTGAAGTCGGTCTCGGAGCTGCACCTGGGGCAGAACTCCCTCGGCGGAATCCCGGACGGGGAATTCGCGTCCATGGGAACTCTCGTGAGACTTTTTCTTCTCAACAACAACATCCTCGACTTGTCAAACCGAACCCTGAAAGGCCTCAGCTCTCTAAAGACGCTCATGATAAATAATAACGAACTGAAACGTATCGACTCGGCGGCATTCGCAGAGCTGATAAATCTGGAAGAACTGTAAGTAAAAAAAGGGTCTAATTTTATACCATATTCAAAAATCTCTGGGTTCGCCTTTTGTTAAAAAGAAAAGCGAGGCTGCACACGCCTAAATACACAAAATCGCTCATAATTGTAAATTTAAGTTTCCCGATTAAAAAGCGAAACTACACGGACTTAGTAAACAAACATTTAAAGCATAAAAAAAATGAATTTAGGAATAGACGATGAATTCATTTCTCAAGAAAGTTAATACAAACTCGCTCCAGAGGTCGGAGAAGGCCGAAAGTTAAACAGAAACCTTTTATCTAGGATCTACGCGGTTCAATCTTTAGTATATTATCATATGTATTATTGTTTGTATGTTTCTTTGATAATATAATGAATTGGTGTTGGATCTGTTAGCAATCCTCCTCTGCGCCAAGTAATATTGCAAAGTATACAACCTAGGCCCTCCATAATATTGTCTGTATAGATTTGCATAAGCATTTGTTTCATCATTCTGCAATCTGGAAAAAGTTGCAAGTTCAAAAATTTCAATTCTTGTAGACTTATGCATATTAACAGAAGATGAAAGAAGGGAGAGAGAAAATTGTGGGAAAAATAAAGAATGAATAAGAATAATGAAAGTAGGGAGAAAGAGAGAGAGAGGGAAATGGAATGGGGTGAGAGAGAGAGAGAGAGAGAGAGAACGAGAGAGATAGAAAAAAGAGAGAGAAGGAGAAAAGGTAGGGAGAAAGAGAGAGAGACCAACATATGTGGGAAGAAGGAGAAAAAGAAGAAAAGTAGAAAGAGAAATAGAGTGAGGTGGGAGAGCTAAAGAAAAGATCGAATGATAAATAGAAAGATTAAGAGAGAAAGAGAGAGATGTGGAGAGAAAGAAAAAAAGAATGACAAATAAAGAGGGAGAGATTGAGAAGTGGAAAACAGGGAGAAAATAACGAAAAATAAAAAGAGAGAGAGAAAGTGAGGGTGTATTTGTGAGAGAGATACGTTGGGGGAGAAAGAGAAAAAGACAGAAAAAAAAGAGAAAGAGGTGTGAAGAGAAAAGGAAATAGAACGAAAAGTAGAAAGAGAGAGAGTGAGATAGATGTAGGGAGAAGAGGAAAAATAAAGAAAAATAAAGAGAGAGTGTATATATATATATTTGTGAGAGGGAGTAATGTGGGGAGAAAAAGAAAAAGTCAAAGACAAATAAAAAGAGAGAGAGATGTAGAGAGAAGGGGGAAAATAACGAAAAGTAGAAAGATAGAGAGAGAGGGAGAGAGTGAGATGTGGAGAGAAGGGGGAAAATAAAAATAAAAAGAGCGGGAGCGAGGGGGTATGTGTGAGAGAGAGAGAGAACAAGAGAGATAGAAAAAAGAGAGAAGAAGAAAAGGTAGGGAGAAATATAGAGAGACCAAGTTAGGTAGGGAGAAGGAGAAAAAGAAGAAAAGTAGAAAGAGAGAAAGAAAGGGAGATAGTGAGGTGGGAGAGAGGGTGAGATATGGAAAGATGGGGTAAAATAACAAAAAATAAAAAAAGAGAGAGAGAGTGAGGGTGTGTTTGTGAGGAAGATAAGTTGGGGGAGAAAGAGAAAAAGACAGAAAAAAGAAAAAGAAAAAGAGGTGTGGAGAGAAAAGGAAATAGAACGAAAAGTAAAAAGAGAGAGAGTGAGAGATGTAGGGAGAAGAGGAAAACAACGAAAAATAAAGAGAGAAAGTGTGTGTGTTTGTGAGAGAGAGTAATTTGGGGAGAAAAAGAAAAAGACAAAGGCAAATAAAACGAGAGAGCAAGAGAGAGAGAGATATGTAGAGAAAAAGATCGAAAAGTAGAAAGAGAGAGAGAGAGATGTGGCTAGAAGGAGAAAACGAAAGAAAGGCAAAAAATAAGAAAGACAAATAGCATGAGTGAGAGTAAGAAAACAATAAAACGTCCTGTATATCTATGTTTATGTGTAGTTGTTTATTTCGGTGTGTTTTTATGTATAAAGATTTATTGTTTGTTAGTTTTTACTTCTATGCCTGTTTGCTGACGAGTTTATTAGGGTGTATTTTTTGTTTGCCTGGGACATTGTCATTTTACATGTGAGGATGTTTGTGTATGTTTTGCGTTTTTTGTGGACCTGTGTAAGCATGTTTGTTGTAGGTTTGAGACATTCTGGCATTCAGGGCGATATAAAAATATGGCACTGAAGAGATACGTGAGGACTGGTGCCAGATAAGATTTTGGAAGATTCTTAATCATAAGTGATACCCAAGTGATTTCTTGTTTTGCATGAGAGTATTTTTTATTGGGTTTATGTTTTCGTCAGTTATTATTTTATATTAAAAAGGGCAAGGTCGATTTATTCTAATTTCGCCTGCCTATTTTAAACGTCCAAATCCTAAAAACGATTCCCAAGTTTTAAAATTAATTAAGCCCTTAAACAGAAGAGTTTTTCTTATATTGTACAACAAAAGTTGGTAAAATTAAATATCAATCGTGACTTTCCCTTTCCCGAGAGTTAAAACGGTCTTAGAATTTAATATATATATTTTTTCTTTGGTGTGCTGTGCCTCAAATCACACTCTCCGCGGAATGACCTCATTTCTCCTCGTCCCTTTTTGCCAATTCACCCTCCTCCTTTATCAGGACTGCGAAGCATTTCACCGCCCTGATAATTCAAGGTCGGACCCTCTAGAAAAGCCGCCGTTTACAAACGCGGAATATTAAAAACCCTTTCGCTTTATGTAAAACCCGGAGATAAAAACGAATCCATAAAACCGTCGGAGGGGGCGCAAATCGGAGACGAGAAGAATCTCGGGAGGGCCGAGGTTGTTTTTTGACAGATGCCGCCATTCCCACTGGGTAGCTTTTAATTCCTCAAATAGTAAACGGCACCTCTTTTTTTTCTAAAGTCAGGACGAGCCTTTTGTATGTTTTAGGTCGACGATGAAACAAGCCAAACATTATATTAAGTACGCTCAAGATCGGACAGATTTATCATCTGTTAGCCTTCTGTGACATTTGCAAACATTGACCATCCTCTATTACACTTCAGTTACTTGTAAATACTTACTTGTTTACTTGTTCTTGTCACTTAAGCTAAAAATTGACTCAATTTTGAATCTAAATGTCCAAAGTGAAATGAAACACCGATTGGCAACAACTATAAAATTGTACGACTTTCTTCGTTTTCAGCCAAAAAATTTCTAGGCTTGTACGATTACTTGTCAAGGTCTGCAGAGTGATGATTTTGTAGTTTGTTCATTCCCGATCAACCTGGTTCACCGACCGTGTCTGACAGACCGAAAACAATGAGACTAGAAGGAACAATAGTTCATCTCGAGAAATTTTACAAAAGTCTTATAGCTGCAACTATTTAACTTGTATTTTGAAACAAAAAAAATGACTCAATTTATTTTAGAGAAAGAGATCGAAAGAGAGTGAGAGGTACAGAGAGAGAAAGAGAGAGCAAGGCAGTGAGAGAGAGTGATGTGGAGATAGAAAAGGAAAAAAAGAAAGTAAGGAAAAAAGATGGAATGAAAGCGTGAGAGAGAGCAAGACAGTTAGAGAGAGAGAGTGATGTGGAGATAGAGAAGGAAAGAAAGAAAGTAAGGAAAAAATATGAAATGAAAGAGAGAGAGAGAGAGAGATGTGGAGATAGAGAAGGAAAGAAAGAAAGTAAAGAAAAAAGATGAAATGAAACAGAGAGAGAGAGAGAGAGAGAGCAAAACAGTAAGAGAAAGTTGGGTGGAGATAGAGAAGGATAGGGGGAAAGGAAGGAAGAAAGTTGAATGAACGGGAGTGAGAGAGAGAGACAGAGGGAGAGAGAGTTTCTTTGAACAATAAAACGTCGTGTGTGTGTGTGTGTGTGTGTGTGTGGTGTGTGTGTGTGTGTGTGGTGTGTGTGTGTGTGTGTGTGTGTGTGTGTGTGTGTGTGTGTGTGTGTGTGTGTGTGTGTGAAATTTCTTTGGGTGTATTTGCTTGCTTATGACTGTCATACACTGTCTCTCGCTCCCTTTCACCTTAATTCTCTTTTTGTTTCTCTTTCTTTCAACTTGCCACTCTTTCTCTCTATCTCTCTTTCTTTCACCTTCTCTCTCTTCTTCTCTCTCTCCCTCTCATTCTATCTTTCCTTTTTCCTTTCTATCTTCTCTTCTTAATCTAGACACAACTTTCTCTCTCTATCTGTCTATCTCATCTTTTTGAGGATTTGTTTTGTTAATTTTGGCGTGTGTTTGTTAGGGCGCTTTTTTTGTTTGCCTGTGCGTTTTGGGGTGTTGTTTGATGGTGCGTTTTTGTGTGAGTTTTTTTATGTGGGAGGTATGGTTGTGATTGAGATTGATTGGGTTGTCTTATTTTTAACTTTCTGTCTGTTTGGGTTTGTTAACGTATTTATGTGCGAGTGTTTGTTTTGGGTTTCTTACTTTGTTTTTGGAATATTTTAATAAATAAAAGCATTTAAGGTTTTTATTTTTTATTTAAGGTTAGGGAGGGAGGGAGAAAGAGAATAATGGAGAAAGGAGAGAAAGGAAGAAATAAAGAAAAGTAGAATGAGAGAAATAAATTAGTATTGACAGACAGACATAAAACAGATAAACGTAGAGATATGTGCTTGGTAGAAGAGACATACAGAAAGAGAAACATAGTGACAGAGAGAAAGTTGCAGACACAGTTAGGGTTAGCAAAAATAAGATTAGTGACACATTCATGATATTAAAACCTAACATACATAAAAGATGAAGAAGTATGTCTAGCTGTAAAATCACTGCATTGTCATGAGAAACTCGAAGTTTCTGTAAATGGAAAATGATCTGAAACAGCTAGCATGTACAAGGTTGTTTCCGTCGACGTCTGAACATGATCTCCGGCAAACCTTCCTTCCTACGTGACCAATCGTTTTGCATGTAGTATAAATAAAATGCCGGAAAAAAACCACCGATCTAAACTGTGAAAATGAAAAATTCACCATTGGCTGAATATTAAATGGACGAGGTAACGTGAAATTTTGAATGTTCAAATCAGTTTCTGGGCGTGGGCGGTTTCGGAGGACGTGGGCGTACGCTTCGGGGAGATTGTTTGACTTTATTACCGTTTTATTATGTACACCTGTTTATGAATGTAACGTGAGATTGTTTTATCAATATGCAAGCACGTTTTCAAAGCGGTCTTTCACCGTTAATTAAACCCGGCGAACACGACGAACCTTAAGAAAATTGTTTTCACATCGCGGCTCATCGATTTGCGACTTTTCGGCCCAAGTTTATTGCATCCAAAAGCTCCTTACCACTTAATTCCAGAGAAAAATTACACCTCCACTCATTTATGACTGTTTACAACGAATAATAACACCGTGTTTTTTTTTTGTTTTTTTTACAAATGACTGAAATATATCAGCCTTCAGCTTTTCATTACCTCAGTGTAAAAAGGATTAAATAAAAACTCCCTTTAGGAAAAAGCGAATAAATTCCTTTATAAATAAAGACTCCCTTTTATAACCGCCGTGTAAATCACTGGAGTTTTCCAGTACTTTTTTTTTAATTTACAGCTACCCGCGTTTATTCGGAAAAATCGAAAACACAAACACACTGGGAAATAAGTAATGAAACATTACATCAGAGCAGAAATACAAATATGACTTTTTTCCATGGACAACGCCTTTAGGCTGGAAAACGAGGAAAAACGCAAACTTATAAAGCGAAGTGGAACGAAAACATTGTTTAACTGATCTTATTACAGTGCTAATCTCTAAAGTTAATCTGTACAATAGTTTGTTGGAAGAGACAGCAAATAAAAATAAGGGGGACAAATAAGAAATATATTTTCCAATATAAGAGATTATAACTCAATCGAGCACCTTTTTAATTGTAGAATGCTTGATGTATAGGTACAATATTTTAGCATAACATCGAACCTTTCGGTAGTCTTGGGACATGGCAGCGAGCATAGATCGCTGTTCGAGTACCTCAGGGCGAACTGTTGTTTAACTCCGCCCCGAGGTTCTTTGGTGGAGTGAATATGACCAGACTTCTACGTTTGTACGTGTGTTCCAGGGTGCTGTTCCAATTGTAGTATATGTACCGCCGAAGCTAGTACCTGACCCTGGCATGGGTCCCTGGACATTCGGAGCAAAGAGCCAACGAATAGGTTGACATGCTGGGAAAAAAGTGAGCCAACATAGACTCTGAGCGCCCAGAAACCTAGGCCTAGCAGCCTACCATAAAAGAGGCTACATTTTAAAATGGATCCTTAATGAGTCCAAAACCTGGGGGAACAATACCACAGGTATGAGGCATGCGAAAAGATTCCTAGAAGGACCATCCCCAAAACTTACAAAAGAATTACTGGAAGGCAACCGCAACCGAACTAGGATTCTGGTTGGATTCCTGACAGGACACTGCCACTTAAGAAGGCACATGCAGATACAGCTAGGAAAAGGAGGAGACCGCAGAACACATTTTATGTGTCTGCGAAGGTCTAGGTAGGTGCAGGTTCGTGCAACTAGGACAAGAAAAACCACAAGCAAGATCCTACACCAACGAACCGCTGGCAAAGCTGTGGAGGCTGGTTAATAGCCTGAAGCTGGCCAGCGAGTTATCATTAACAGAGGAGCTACCATTAACACCTCGACTATTTAGGTCGAGGTGCAGTAGGCCTTTTGGCCGCTTCTCTAGAAAAGAAGCGGTTGTTTAATCCCGCCCCGAGGTATATCGAGTGCTCTGACAGAGTGAATATGACTAGATTTCGAAAAGGAAAAAATGGCAACAATCAGACCCAGCAGACAAAAACCTCCTTTACAATATGAATTAAAATAACACTAGAGGAAGACTCGATCAGACATGACCTAGAAGATGTTACGCTATACACTGTCAACCCACTAAGGTAGACAATAAAAAGTCCAATTGCCCTAATTCCTCCGTTAAAAAAAGATAGCACATGGTTGAGACTGAGAACAAACAAGGTCCACGAATTTACCAGTCACCTTGCCGAAATTTCCAAACCAAATGAAAACATCAGTAGTAGCGTACACGAAGACCACTCCAGGAAAAAAAATTATATTTAAAGTTAAATTATAAATATTGGAAGGGGAATGGGAAGATAGATGAATGAGCAAAGAAAGTATAACGTTACTTTGATGGAGGGAGGTTACAGCCCAAACCACGATACATTTGAGGAGATGTATATCATACCGAACAAAGCAGTTCATGATTCTCTTGAGCCCGATAACTAGCTCGCAGACAAACAGCCATATTCGAAATGGGTAAGCACCAGGGAGGAGACCATTGGTTTGCGGATGCGAAGAAAGAGTTTGGCTTGCATGACGGGATTGGCGGAGGGTGGAAAGGCAACGGCAGGAAATTTTGGAACTGTGAGGTTCGATAATTGGGTATGACCAAGGATTGGTTGTTGGTTGTTAATGCACAGCGGAGGTAAGGATTAGAGAAGATGCTAAACAAACACTATCGGGTACCTATAGATAATGAAGGACAGTCAACGGCCCAGGAGCTGATGGCATTTAATTCCTCGTGGATTCGTGGAGATTTGAAAGTCATCCATGAGAGGTGATAAATATTTTTAGGATATTAGCAAGATCTTGATATAACAACAAAAGAGACAGGAAGATATACTGGAGTCTTGAGGAACACCAGAATAATGGGTTTGGGGGAAAAGGAGGGGCTTGTCTGGGATGAAGACTACTGATGACTATGAGGGCTTTGTGAGCGGGGTGAGAGGGAGGAATGAAACCATAGAAGAACACTGTTGTAGTAGGAAAGGGAATTGAGCTTAGAAAGAAGCAGTAACTTTACTTTGATCCATAGCCATCAGTATACAATATATGTACTATTTCAACTAGTTTTTATTCTATATAAATATTTTAACTTGAACAAAAGGATCTTCAGTGAGGTCACAACAGAAACGACAATTCTTTACGTTTTTGACGAGCTTTCGACGATTATATCGTCATCATTAGGGTCTATTTATTTTAGGAAAATATCGCAGTTAGAACATGTTATATCATTTTTGAAAAAATAAAATATATTTTAAATTATATAACATGTTCTAACTGCGATATTTTCCTAAAATAAATAGGCCCCGATGATGATATAATCGTCGAAAGCTCGGCAAAAACTTAAAGAATTGTCGTTTCTGTTGTGACCTCACTGAAGATCCTTTTGTTTAAGTTGTTCAACAAGCAGGTCGATACATCATCTCATCTTTAATAAATATTTTACTTCAAAATAAATAAAAAGTGTAAAATAGAATAAAACGATCTTTCACTTTAAGACAGCATAACTACCCAACTGCACCTCATCAAAAAGTTAGAAAAAAGTACTTTGCTCTTTCAAATCCGTTGATACTATCCATGATGATTTTAAAAATTAAGTTTATCTTTGTCCATTTACTTAAATTCTATATCTTCTTCAATTTATAATTACTAGTATATTATTAACTAGTTAATTTTTTCTACGTTTTATACTATGTAGGCCTAAGAAGTGTATGGTTTTATTCGGTTCCATGGAATCATTTATGCCAAACAATCTTACGCTACAATTTCTTCTTTTTGTTCTATTTAATTTTCAAGTCGAATTAATTCTGTGCACAATTGTTTCAGACAGCTGGACGGAAATAAACTGACGACTGTGCCAGACGGAAGCCTCGATTTCCTGAAAAACCTTTCGGGCATTAAACTCACAAAGAACCCTTGGTACTGCGATTGCTCCATTCTGTACTTGTCGAGGTATTTTCAACACTTTTGTATTCTCAACTGTAGCCATTTTCTTTATATGTGTATAATTTTGTGTTCCTAGTAAGAATCCATAAAAAAAATTTAAACTTGTTATACCATCAAAAAGGAAGGAGGGTTAAGGGTATAAGGAATTATTTGTTTGAAAGCAAAGCTAATAGCTCCCACTTTTTTCAGATTTATTTAAATAGTCGTCCGACCAATCCGGGTTAAAAAATACATCAGAAACACGAATCATTGGCGACATTTCCGGACCGGTTGTCGTCTGGTTCACCAATAACCCATTCAAAATAACATTTGCCGAAGCCGTAGGCGTGAGCCCGGGGTTTCGCGTTATGATTACGAAGCATTGTTAATACGTGATAAATGGCTGAAGTTTACCCAGGGCCCGCAGCTGAATTCCCAACAAAATTTGACAAATAATTACTCGCCGCTGCTTAATTAATGTTTTGGAATTTAGGCCGTCGCTTGCGTCCTAATGCTAGTCCTTCGCGCTGTTACGCTGATTACCAAACTCAATTTGTAAATTTAAAAAATTTATTCTTTCTCGAGTAGAATGAATGCTATTATCATTGGTGATAAAATGGCCTACGGAGTCAAAGTGATAGTGGTTAAGATTTGAAATAAATCCTTGGAAGAGTTTTAAATATTTAAAAATTCTATAAAAAAGTTTAATTGTCATATCTTTAACCATGAAAATGTAAGGTCCTCTTGGATTCGTAATAATAATAATGTGTAGAGATTAGTGACCGTTAATCGATAGTTATTCAGATATCGTGAGATGCGGTCGGGTGTGATGTAGGTTTCAGAAAAACATTTTCTTTATCGTGCCAACGTTTCGATCTTTNGATCGAAACGTTGGCACGATAAAGAAAATGTTTTTCTGAAACCTACATCACACCCGACCGCATCTCACGATATCTGAATAATAATAATAATATTTTATTTTACAATTATTATAGTATTTATTTATTAAGTATTTATTTTATCAATAACAAAATATACCCTTAAAAAAGTAAGTATTTACAGCAATGGAATATCTGTCTGGTGGGAGTCGAGATTACTGATAAAATATTGACAAAGATAATAAAATAAACAATAAAACATTCCCTGTGTTTTATAACGTAAGCGGAAAGAAAAAGAAAACCAAAAAATTAATTAATTTTAAAAAATAATAATAATAAAATAAAATAATCTGGTGAACACAGAACAAGATAGATTTATATACCATCAGCATCATAAAAATATCTTCTAGTAGATCAAAAAAATTGAATTCTTGTACCAGTTACCAGTGGTAAAACCAGGAGTGTCGAGCGATTTTTTTTTTTTTTTTTTTACGAGGGTTCGCAACAGCAGAGGTCATATCAACCCTCAGGGTGCCGGCTTTTTTGAAAAAAGCCCATTGTAAGTATGTCGGGGTCAAATGCAGGGATGCTAACAAAGTGGCTGTTATAGACAAAAACCAAAGAATAGGACTTTGTCGATAAATAAATTATAATTTGTTTTCAAACTCTTTTTTAATGCACCATATCTTTTATATATGGTCTTGCAAATCCACTTCTAGCCATGTCAGCATGTTCATTACTCAGGATTTCCTAGCAACCAAGATATTGCCAAGTTAGTAGGCTTATCTACGATTAATTTTTTTTTTCATTTTAATTTTTTGTACGAGGTATGTCGGGGTCGAATCCAGGGCCGCTGGATTCGACCCCGGGACCTTTACCTTACAGTGATGAGCGCCGTGTCAACGCCTAAACCGTTGCGGCCATCGACGCCCCTAGCTTTTATTAGCTGCAAGCTTGACTCATTTAAAAGTTTGATTAGGCTTTCTTCCGAGAGCATATTACTACCCAAATAAGAAGCACGCAACTCGGACAGGATGGTACACATAACCAAAAAGTTCATGATGGTTTCCTTTTCACTGAGAACACATTTCTGTATCCCGCTGGCAGCCTATAAATTGGGTAGAGTTAAGGAACAGAAGTTCGCGGAGTTTGACGTGATCCCTCAGTTTTAGTGTTCTTCCATGTTTCTCATTCGTCAGGCAGGACACATTGAGATTTCGGTCAAGCCTCTTGAACAAAAGAAACCTCTCTGTTCGCTCTAAGATCCTCTTGTTATCGCTAGACCTAATACTGGAAATAACGCGCTCGAATTCTGCCATCCATTCAGAAATGTCTCAAGAGAATCGGAAAGAAGGATAACTATCTGACAAGGAACTCCAGTGCTCATACCAGAAACATATTTATTTGTTATCTCCTGAGCTGTAATTTTCGTGTAGCGGTGATCAGGGGGTTTTAGGGTTTTGTATACATATCTAAATTGGAGCTTTAACGTGTATATGTAAATATAGCATGTAATTTGGAGTACAAGAAGGCAAAGCAAACAACTGCTTGATGAAGTACCTCAACTGATCATAAGGTTGAAACCCCCAAATTTGACGTCCGTACGAGAATGGAACGGCATACCGCATTAAATTTAAATTTGGAAGATAAAGGGACCAGATCTTGCATCATGAACCCAGGCCACATCTTGGGTTCGTATAGAGATTTGAAGGTCATGAAGTAAGAAGGAGATGTAGATTTGGAAGTCATCCATGTAGAGGTGATAAATATTTTAAGATATTAGCAAGATCATTGATATAACAACAAAAGGGATAGGCAGATATACTGGAGCCTTGAGGAACACCAAAGGAGTGGAGTGGAAGGGGCTTATCTGGGATGAGGACAACTGACATTTGCGTCCTAATGCTCGTCCTTCGCACTCTTACGCTGATTACCAAACTCAATTTGTAAAGTTTAAAAAATCATTCTTTTTCGAGTAGAATGAATGGTACCATACTACAATATACCGTAATACAATACTACCTACTACATACCATCATACAATACTTTGTAATGGTGGTAAATGGCCTGTGGAGTCAAACGTAGTGGTTAAGATTTGAAATAAATCCTTGGAAGAGCTTTGAATATTTAAAAATTCTAGAAAAACGTTTAATTTGTCATCCTTAACCATGAAAGTGTCATTGGTCTAACATGCCTTACCAGTGTTTTTTATTTATTCTTTTTAATTTGTTAGTTATACGACCGCGCAGGTGCCCGTTATGAAGAATAGAATAACGGTCGAGCACCTTTTCAATTGTAGAAGGCTTGATGTATATATACAATATTTTGGCATATCATCGGACCTGGGCGTAGTCTTGGGGCACGGCAGCGGGCACAGATCGATCCGGTACCTCAGGGTTATAGGAATTTTTAAATGTAAATCTTGTTTTTTATGTGTGTTTGGGTTGTGTCTGTGTTGACTTTATGTTAATTTATTGGAATGAATGTAATTTATTTGCGTGAAAGGAAGAGGTTATTTAACCTCGCCCCCAAGAATATTGAGTACTCTGGGGTGAATTTATGACGTCTGGAGAGTAAAAGTTAGCGAATGAAGCGAGTTAGCGAATTAGCGAGAATGAAATGGGTTCAACCCCGCTCCGAAGAATGTCGAGTACTCTGGGGTAAGTGTGTGTCGTCTGGAGAGGTCTGGGAGTAAAAGTAAGTTATTAGCGTGAAAGGAAGGGGTTGCTTATAACCCCGCCCCGTGGAATCTCGAGTACTCTGGGTTGGGTGTGTGACGTCTGGAGAGATATGGAGAGTAAAAGTAATTTATTACCGAGAATGGAGTGGGTTCAACCCCGCCGCGAGGCATATCGAGTACTCTGGGGGACTGAATGTTATCAGACATCTATGTTTCTATCAGGTGTTGTGTTTGTGTTAATTTATTGGAATGAATGTCATTTATCAGTGTGAAAGGAAGGGGTTGCTTAATGGCAAATGGCTGCAGTTTAAAACAAAATACACGCAAAAGAAGAGAATAAGAAGGAAAACACGCAGAGAGCCGGAGATGACCTCAGCTGTAGCCCATAAACTTCCCGCTTTATTATTATTTTTAGTTATGGCTTTACGAATTTAAGGGTAAGGCGATCATAATCATAAAAATTATGTTAGGTACAATTGTAAGAAAGTAAACTGTGATGGTAGAGAGTTTTAATGTTTTCTCTTTTGTCGTTTAGGTGGGTGAAGGAAAACGACGATAAAGTGTGGCCTGTGGAGCCCCGCTGTTTGGGCCCGGGTGAACTAAGCGGCCGTCAGCTCCATAAGGCAACCCAAGAAGAGCTCTGCGATCGCTCTTACCCTCACGAAAAAGTCGAGACTAATTCGATAAACATCAACTCGAAAAATTGACCACTTCAGAGGAGAAATGCGTTTTTGATACCGGTCGTTCAATAATTCAAAAGGACGTTGTTCAAGCAACAAGGAAACACGAAGAGTTTTTTTACAAGGCCTTCGGCCGCATGTGAAAGGACGGGATAGCCTAGTACTCCACCTCGGCGTGTAAATAAATGAGAGGCGTCGTTTGGATACAGGCCATTATTCATGTCGGACCGCTTCCTAAACCCACACGTCCTCCTCTGAGGAAACTCCTTTTGCCTCCAACACACGTAATCGACGCATTAAGTCTTAATTAGTCGTCTAATTTAATCAAGTTGCGAATGGTATCAGTTACGCAAGGCAATGGCCCTTACGACAATAATAACGTGACCTCACAACGCCCGCTATTTAACAACTTGTAAATGTAATTATTGCCTACGATGAAAAGGCCCTCGATCAAATTTTCCTAGTTTATCAATCCGTTTCTCTTTCTTGTTTGTTTTTTTACAAACTTGTTAATGATCAAATGGATTTTAATTGGGGCAAACCTGTTAGGACGTAATTGCCCGAGTTTCGTCGCTTCGTCGAGAACGAGGTTCGCCTAAAGACCTCACTGCATTTATGATTTTAAGCTTTATTTATTTGGGTCAATTTCATAGAAGGAATAAAAGAAAAGTCGCCTTGGATCCTGGCTGGAATTATTCATTGATCCGATCTACGAATTTGTGATATCAGAGACTGTAAACAATACAGCAATACAACCAATCTTCCCTGATCGGCCCAAGGACCCCAAACTACCCAGACAAAATCTTATATTTTTAAGAACGTAAAATCACTTTATTGGATTTATTCATTTATACATTCTTTATTATAGAACTATATAACAAGCACTTAAAACGCAATATATGCAATACAATTTAAATAAACAACCATAACAACAATTTTATCAATAAAAGCGTTGGCTTAAATAAAATAACTTCCTGATAAAGTCCATTTCAATCTTAATCAAATCAATAGTAATACTAAATAAAAATGTTTTACAATATATTTCCTTCTTTTTTCACATATACATGAACAGAACTTGGATTTTAGTAACATTGCTTTTATTTTTATTATTAAACATTTTTAGCTAAACAGTTTTCCGTTTCTGTTAAAAAAATTTATAATATATCGTAAAAGTTTTAAAGATATTAAAGTAAACATGGCTTCATTGGTTGACTTTAATCGATGGGGGTAGCCTGGTTTATTAGTAAAAAAAAGAGGATATCCCAAAAAATTTACTTATTGCAACAGCTTCTAGGTATTTAGAGGTTTAGATGTTGGATAACTGTTAAAATCCTTGAACAAATTTCGGCCGCGTCCAAACAGTCTACCATCTTAGCAACGCCCATATTGACATCATGATTATCGACCTGCACCTGTGACTCGAGGATTCAAATTTGGATATTCCTATTCACAAAGACATCTAAGAGGGCGTGGCTAAACTGGTTGACTTTATTGGAGGGGTGTGGCCACGATTTACATCAATGATTTAAGGTGATGCCAACTTTTGAAAAATTACAATTGTTTGCAGATAGATATCTGTACATAATTGCCAACTTGTCTCAAAAATCTTGTTTCTTCATTACTAGAAGAAGTCGAAGAGGGCGGGACTAAAGTGGTTTATTTTATTGGATGGGTGTAGCCAAGATTTACATCAATGATTTAAGGGGATGCCAACTTTTGAAAAATTACAATTGTTTGCAGATACATGTCTGTACATAATTGCAAATTTGTCTCAAAAATCTTGTTTCTTCATTACTAAAAGAAGTCGAAGAGGGCGTGAGTGGTTTATTTTATTGGATGGGTGTGGCCAAGATTTACATCAATGATTTAATGGGGATGCCAACTTTTGAAAAATAACAATTGGTTACAAATACATATATGTACAGAATTGCAAACTATGTCTCAAAAATCTTATGTCTTCATTACTCAAAAACGTCAGAGGGGACGTGGCTAAACTGTTTCATTTTACTAGAGGGGTGTGGCCAAGTTTTGCATCAATGATTTAATGGGGATGCCTACTTTTGAAAAATAACAATTATTTACAAACACATATATGTACAGAATTGCAAACTATGTCTCAAAAATCTTGTTTTTTCATTATTCAAAAACGTCAAAGGAGGCGAGGCTAAACTGTTTCTACTATTAGAGGGGTGTGGCCAAGATTTACATCAATGATTTAATGGGGATGCCAACTTTTGAAATATTGCAATTGTTTACAAATACATAATTGTACAGAATTGCAAACAATGTTTCAAAAATCTTGTTTCTTCATTACTCAAAAAGGTCAAAGAGGGCGTGGCTAAACTGTTTCATTTTATTAGAGGGGTGTGGCCAATAATTACATCGATGATTTAATGGGGACGACAACTTTTGAAAAATTACAGTTGTTAACGAATACGTATATGAATAGAATTACAAACTATGTCTCAAAAATCTTGTTTCTTCATTACTGAAAAACGTCGAAGAGGGCGTGGCTAAAGTCGTTGACTTTATTGACGGGGTGTGGCCAAGACTCATATCAGGCAATTAAGGGGGATGCCAACATTGGAAAGCTCACAGTTTTGATTAAGATCTGTAAATATTTAAAACTTTGTACAAACAATTGGATTTGTTCACACCTGACTGAGTTTATGAAGGGGACGTGGCCAAGATTTTTCATATCAATGATTTAATGCGGATGCCAATATTCGAAAAATTACTATTTTATTAAGATTAGTAAGCATTGCAAACTTTGTCTAAACAGTTGTTCACTGCAAAAAGATGTTAAAATGGCCGAGGCTGGCGATTTAAAAAAAATAGTAGATCCCATATATATATTTTTTTTTATTGATTTATATTTTATGTAAAGTGTGGTTGAGATGAAAAATTAGTGTCACGAACGGGTCTCGAACCCACGACCTCCCGGCGCTCTAAACAAGATTTTCAACAGAGGTCTCGATAAAATTTAAGAACAACCAATTTAACCAGGACCTCTTCAATACTGGACAAATAACGAACATTTTAAGTGACCAATCGTTCAATGAAAGTAAAGTGGTAAAGCTCTTTGACATTGTGTCCTGTACATGAGTGACACCTTAAACGATAAATTCTCTGATTACATCAAAATTGTCGTGGCTAATTTAAGTGATAAGAGCATGCTTAGTATTGTGGCGTCGAGAAGACTTCGAAACATAGTGGTATGATTTTTATATTTAGTTTGGCTAGGAAATTGGTCAAAGTTTTGTATCTACAAAACTAAGAGGTCATCAGTCTCAACTGTAAGTAACCTACGGAAGAAAGGTGAACGGAACAAAATAAAAGATCAACGCCCTCTCTGGATTCATTGGTCAAAACAAGAGGCATGTTTCTCCCCTTACAACATTTGAGAATTCGTTCTCAAAGATAAAAAGTCGCCGATCCCGGAAACGAAGATATTCTAAAGATGAGATCACGTCCAATAAAAAATAATAAGACTCGCCCGACACAAAGCCGAACTTTTATACGTTTCGACATAACTTTCGTATTCGTCCATGCCCATATTCGTTCAGCCGTTTACGCGTGTAAACAACATAAAATTAGACGAAATAGTACATAAAGAATGAAGGGGAATAAGTGTATATTTTCCCCTAATAACTTATCCTCGTATTAAAATTGTCAATACTGTATAAAAGCGTGAGAAGGTGGAATAACTAAGCGAAGTTTTTGTTGAAACGATCATTAGTAAATAACTATGTGAAAAGGTCAAATGGCCATATAGACAATAAACAGTTAGTGACAATCCTTTTATCTCCAATAAGTCGAAAACCTGTTTTCTCTTTTAGGATAACTTTGCTTATTAGCTAAAGAAGGATTATTTGAGTTTCTCCTGGAATTAACCAAATTTTTTCTTTATTGTTTTATCCTCTAGCTACATTAAAACCTTTGTGAAATTAATTAATCTTTAAGTAAGTTATTGGTTGAGATAAAAAAAAGTCAGTGTCACGAGCGGGATTCGTACCCACGGCCTTCGGTTAAAATTCAGCGCTGCTCTACCACTTGAGCTATCGTGGTGCATATAGGTTATTTTCAACGTTGAACTGACAATTAATTAATCTTTAATTAAGGTTGTACTTCAGATAAAAAAAGTCAGTGTCAAGAGCGGGAATCGTACCCACGACCTTCGGCTAAATTCAGCGCTGCTCTACCACTTGAGCTCGTGGTGCAAATAGGTTATTTTCAACGTAATAAATACGCCGCTGCATAACCTCCCATGTCAACCCCACCTTTTGAATTTTCCCTCTTTTTTTCCATTTTTGAAATATTGTGTAATTCTTTTGATTCTCGGCGACAAATGAAATGGCCACGGACAGCTTTAGTGAAGTATACTTCATTCTGCTTATTAAATCATTTTCGTGGTCCGATTGACCAAATAATTTCTTTTCAATTAATTAATCTTTAAGTAAGGTATTGGTTGAGATAAAAATGGCAAAAAGGAGGGAAAATTTAAAAAAAAGTGGGGTTGAGATGGGAAGTTGGTGTCCGAGTTGGATCGCAGTCAGGATAGCTCAAGTGGTAGAGCATCGGCGTATTTAGCCGAAGGTCGTGGGTTCGAATCCCACTCGTGACATAGCTTTTTCATTTCAACCAAAACCTTACTTAAAGATTAATTAATTGAAAAGAATTTATTTGGTCAATCGGACCACGAAACCTAATCGACCTATTTGAAATTGTAAGTGCAACAGATCAATATTATTGGATGAACCAAGCATACATATCAGAATAATAAAAAGAATATACGTTTATTATTTCTCAGGCTAAGGTTAAATTTGGAGTAATTGAACAACAAAAAATAGTTGACATAAACTTCTCCGATACGGAATAATATATCCTCGACAAAGGATGAGCCGTAAAGGTCAAAGAGGGCTGTAAAATAGTTCCTCGCTAGGACATTTACTGCTGGAGGGAGATTTGCCCCCCTCACCAGAGATTAATTACCCGGATCGGATTTTATTTTTTGGCCCAAATATTTAACTGGAAAACAGCCTATTATTTGGTTATATATTGTGATAAATGTGGTAGAAAAAAAAGCAAGACGTGTTTTCTACCCTTCCATCCCGATTTCATCGCTGGCGTAAAATAATTCAAGTCTAAGCCGTGATTCGGGAAAACAGAATTTATCTTTCGGTTAAGTTGCGCTTTTCCCAGGGTTACAGCCTTTTCTTGTTGGCAAAACGCTGAGAAAAAACAGAAAATCTCCGGCTTTTTAACCCAAGATTTAATTCAGAAATATTCTGGTCTTTGGAGGAAAAAAAACTATAGGCTAACTTTCAAAAACTGTACATTGCCCAAGAATTATTTGTTTGGAACTTTTTGATTTAAAAAATCTTCCAAGCAATTTCCTGTTTATAAAGAATATTCAGGTTTTTATGGAGAGTCCATAGGAAGAGAAAAAATCAGGGGATTTGGAAGAAGTCAGACAATCCAGATTTCATAATTTGCTAAAGTCATATTTTATATATTAAAATTTAATATATTTTAATTTTATGTCAATTATTCCAAGTTCCACAGTTTATAAATTGAACGAATTATGAAAGTGGCTTGGCCAAAAGTATTCTCAAGTACTCAGTGCACTTTCCATTACGGTAATGGACAAAGTTGTGTTTTGCTGCTTTAAAACTTTTAAAATAAAATATGCTCCGTTATTACGTACATTTACAGGCTGTTTCTTCCAATTATGAAGAGTTGGTGTGCAAAAGGAGCGCATGTTTCAGAAGTTCAAATACATTACAGAGATCTGTGCATTGCTGCGTCAAAATCTATTAAATTATGCCAACCACGTTAACTATAAACCGTTATGAGGTAGTTCAAAGTAGCAGGGTTGTGCAGTTCCATGAACTCGCTGAATTCACTTAAAAGCA